GCACACACCGACACAGTACTGCAGGCCAGGTACGGTAATTGCATGCAAGCCGCGATCGAGCCATGCTAGCCATGGCATGGAGGGTCAAAACATAATAGAGAGAAAGCTCGAAAGCCACTCATTGTAAATTAAGAAAGTAATTGAAATATATAAATAGGCCTACCTTAGTTTTGCGATGTATTCCAATTACTATTTCCTCATGAGTAAAGATCTGACACTGCATTATCATCGATCGATAAATCCAACTTGCACTTGTAGCGATCACAATACGGAATCAAACGTGACTGCACGCATTGATAGACGTGTACTACTTACGGAGATATTTCTCTCCCTCTCTCTCTCTCTCTCTCTCTCACTAACCATATGATGATATCATACACTAAAACACACACGCTCAAATCATGGCATTCATTACACTTCTCAATTGGAGTATAGACTGCTCGCGCAGACTTTTTTTTTGTTACTGAAATGTCTTTTTTTACACTTCTCATACATTACTGCACGACACTGGTGTCTAGTGATGAGAAAAAGGTACTATGTGTGAGACTACGTCAAATTTGTTTTGCGCGCGATGAGACCGGAGCTCATAAATATTCATATTATGATGTCGCAAGACTTCTATTTGGGGCTGGAACAATGAGGTCTCTGTTCACAATTTTCCTTCTCAATTTGAGATGGCTCTAGCTATGGGGCTCAAACCAACGCAAGATTGACAAAAACATCGTACTCTATCTACCTTCAAATGTGCAGTTTGTAAAAATCTGCAATTAAAAATCTTTTTTCGTTATATTTTCTAGTTGTTAAAAGTGACATTTGTGCACATCTGATATGTTAATCTCTATCAAAATTTCTTTGATATTAAATTGGTTCCATATTTTTAGGCTCTACCTTCAGTCATTGAGAAGGATTTTAGTGAGCTAACCTCATCGCCCTCTAGTTTCTCTTGTGCGTCCGTTATTTTCGTCTGCTAGCCCAATTATTGGATCAAAATACGTCAAAATCTGCAAGATTAATTGTCAATAAATGGCAGGGAATAATTTTCCTCAAATTTTTTGATTAGCAATTTCAGCCGATGGATAAATATTTCAAATGAAACTCTGTACATTTCTATGGAAGAAAATTGCTACACAAAAGATATTTTGTATAGCAGTCATGCAAAAATGCATAGCAAATTGCGATGCGATACCAGGAAAATTATTCCCTGAATGGTGAAAGACCGTTACAGATCCGTGATTATAGGTATGTTGTGGAGTGTGTAATTGTGTATTTGTTATACATTTTATTCCATAGATATTTGTTTTCTTTTTTTTCCCCTTTTTTTTTCTTCTGGTAATTTTCTGACTTGGACGACGAGCGCACAAATCGTAGGCGTAGAAGCCTTACGCCCGGGCATTGGCCTCCCTACTCATAAACGCAGATAAAATGCGTCCTAAAAAATATGGATCGTCTGCATTTTTGAGGACTTTTTTTCCATCGGCGCTCTGCGGATTTTCAGTTACCGAACCTCTAGTTTTGGTCATGCGATTGCATTGTGAAAGAAACGTTGTGGAATCGATCAGGGAAGGTTGATCATCTAGCATATAAGTAAGTGTGTAGACTACTGCAAGGTTCTGGAATCATCAAAATGATAAGAAATTTGGCCCAGTCTTCGTAGAGTTGCAAGCATTGTACACAGAAAGATGTATATGGGTCATTCCATCGGGTTGGGTCTTTTCAGCATTTTCACGTGTTTGAATGTTTAGAAGCTATTTACTCAAATTTGAATGTATTTTTAGAAAAATAAAAGTATGTTATATTGAAGAGTAATGTAGTACAGAATAAATAAACATGAAAACAGAAACTTCTTCATCATATTTTTTTTTTGGTGAGAGTTTTACTACCGATGTCTCAGCGATTTTGAGGGTGAAAGTTGTGACATGAAAACATGTCATTTTCATGAACTTATTTCTGGAAAAAAGTTCATCATAATGCAATGTTTCCTACTTAAAACATGTCACCTTTAGTACCCCTACTATGTCTGAGAAGCTCAAGTGAAATGTGCAAAAAATCGGCAAGTTATTTCATATTGAAAAAACACAATACCTACGTTACCAACGATGTCCTAGGCACTTTTTTCGTAACGGCGGTAATTCTAGCATTTTACACAAATTTAGCAGGATATTTTCTCAGAAAGTTTCATCTTATTAGGAAGGTACAACCCCTCATGAACATATGTAGAAAGAATGATGATTAAATCGGTCGGTAAATATAAGAAAACAATTAATTTACCGCGAAAATCGGGCGCGATGTCCTTCGTAATTTGGTAACGTAGGTGTGAAATTACGGTGTTTGAGGTATAAACCAGCCCGCTAGCTTCAGTTTTCGGTGTTAAAATGACCTGCTAGTTATTCACGAATGCGCAGAACATGTTTTTTGCCGGACTGCGACGACCTACCCCTACAGTGCAACCACAAACGTGAAGATGTCTTTGTAACGTGGTGCAGCCATTTTCGCCCGTCAGCGCCCAAATTGGTACGTAATATGTTTTTTAAGTTATTTTTATGGCCCGAATTATTATCATGGACAATGAAATTCCATGTTTTAAAAATGTAATTCCGTTTTAAATTGTGTTATTTTCAACTTAAACCGGTTTTCAAACCATCACATGTGAGTGAATATTTTACTGTTGTCCCACATACTGATATATGTGTTATAACGAAACATGCAAAATCAATGCCGGACTTTTACCCTTAAAAAGCTAGTTTCTTAAACAGAAATTGAATTTAGTTATAAGAATCCCGTAAATAATGATATTCATGATGTTCCTACACCTCAGATTTTTTCTGACAAGTTTTAAATTAATTAATATTATTTATATGGTGTCATTAATTGTCATTGAACAATGATGGCTGAGCCTAACGAAAAACACAAGTTATTGAACATTGCTTCCTTCAAGTTAGGAAGTTCAATCTGAGACCCGAAATACACAACTTTTTGGGCACAAAAGGGGTTGAGGGTTGGGGTTGAGATAGAGAAGAATGGGTTAAAAGGGGAGGGCACCCCCCCTCCGATTCAATTAAAATTGGATACATAATAATGTAATGAGCCTTTTTTTTTTTTATATAATTTTTTTATATTTTTTTATATTTTTTTATAAATTATATAATCATTGATCTGGCTCCCCTTCCCCCTCATCCAAAGGTTGAAGTGAGGGATAAGGGGCTTCAACACCTTCCCTCCCTCTCCAAATAATGATAAATAACAAATATAATTTTTTAACAAAAATTTATAATTCAACACAAATATTAAACTTAAAATAAAAATAAAAATGAACAACCAATAATAATACCTACTTCTATTTGGGCATGCAACGAGCCAATAGTGAGGAACTCCCTATCCATCTTGCAATCCTCTGTCTAGTTGTTCCATCCTTAATTCTTACAATTTGATTTTACAACAGATCTAGATAGAAGTACTTGATAATTGCACACAACACACGTTTGAAATGAAAAATCACAGAAACAGTTTACAGTTTTGTTTTATTTTTATCTCATTTAATATTCTTTACTCATTGGTTTTTATTTATTTCTTTTCATGCATATTTATTAGATTGCTGCATCCATTTCATTCATGGCTCCTATACCTCCCTTGAGGATTCAGCTCCAGCAGAGAGAGATCAAGAGAGCAGGCAAAATGACCAGTCATCGAAACCTTCCTGGAAAACAAAGATCTTTCCAATCTAATCACTATTTTGAAGAAGATATAAAGTTGATCATTGATATCTATCAATATACCTCTTGTATGAATACTGTTTTTTAATTTACTGATCAAGGGATAAAATATATTTCAGATGACATTTGATGTAGTCTGTCATTTTTCAATGAGTATAAGAGGATAGTTACTCTAATATCATACTGATGTTACTCGGACATGATGTCCGTGTAACATAGGTAACTGGAGGTGTTGAGGTGAATATAGACCATAAATCTTGCAGGTTTCCTTTCAATTGTGTTATCATCTCATTAAATATGTTTCATGCATCAATTAATTGGCACATTTCATGGAATGTAGCCAAGATTTTCTATGCAAGAGAAAAGATTACCCTTTAGAAAAAAACATGATCTGAAGATTGCTAGTTCCTCATTTGTTTCATGTTTATAAATTGATATAATGTTGCTGTGTTCAAGTTTTAAGTATTCTAAACTATTGCTCCCATCATCTAAATGTTTTCCACACACAAAAAAGTGGAGTACAGACTGTGACAAAGTTTCAGATCAGAAAATAAATGAGCAAGTAAAAAAAGATGTCCTTGTAACGTTGGTTTTTTGGTGTGTCTGTTTTTTCATTTTAAATGAAAGTGTGCGAAGGAATACACACAATTCCAGTGGAATCTATTGAAGAATGGGTGTTAAAAACAGGATATAACAATAAACAAATTATTCAACAACTCTGAATTTTGAACCTTCATGTCACAATTTATGACCCAACCCGATGGAATGACCCATATGGGACTACGCACACACGTGCGCGACACGTGCGTTAATTAGGCTCTCACAGTCCAATAGATAAACTAATTAACCAAATATATCAATTAGTAGGCGGTTTCTCAGCAAAAGTTGTATCATCATGTATTAGTCAAAACATATTCTTTCACATGATTGGTAATAAGAGCTTCCATTTCAATTTTTGAAATTGGGGCGTTTCCAATACTGGCCTTTTAATACCTTTAAGATTCTGCCCAACTCAAGTCAACTCAAACTTCCAGAACATCCTAAAAATGCTCTAAAATGACTAGTACAAAAGATACTGAAATAGGGCATATCACATACACAAATTAATTTGCCCCGAGCCCCCATATATTTTCCCCCTGTTTTGCAATGTTTTTAAGATGATTTTGCATTGTATAGGATGATACAGTATATCGGCTGAAAATCACTCCCGACCGACAACTCTGGACGTTACTCTGGAAGGATTAAAACAAAGAATCACATACATGTATTGGTCTTGTCTTTTTCTTGCAGTCAACATTCAATGCTGGTTGCAGGGGATTCCTATGAAGAACTGGATTACGATCTGAGTGTGGATGAGAACCAAGTGAGAAGACGGCTGAAGAGCGGTACTATAGCTGAGATAGTAGAGAATGATGATCCCAGAATAGAAGTACCGGTAGGAAAGCTAGTAGACCTCCAACCTGAAGTGTTTGAAGACATACCAGTAAGTAACTGCTCCTTCTTCCTAGTTTGCTGGCACAAACCCTGGTCAGTCGTAAAAGAGAGTCTGCACTATAAGACTACCATACATGTAGGCCATGTACTATAGCTGCTCCTGACACAACCAGTAGGTAGCTGGGCTAGGCTTCTCTCAAGGCACAATGATTTGTTGATAAAGTGTCAAATTAGGGTCTGTGCTTGCAGACTACCTTCTTCCCTAGTGTCATCAGCCCATGACACATACTTCTGGCATATACTAGAGCAGCCCCCCCCCCCCCCCCACCTTACGTAGGTCAAAAGGGAGCTAGAGGGATTCACACTAAGGCCAGAGTAGATAGTACGCAGGGGAAATTCTTTCTTGCACCTTTTTTGTTAATTTGAGAGACAGTTTCGCAGCCTCACCCTGTACACAAGCAATGCACAAAGTACAAAAAATACTCTATTTAAGAAGCTGAAAGAAGACACCAATGAGACATACCTTATAGAGATTGTCCTCCGCATTTCGCAAACATGCTCTCATAAATTGGAAAGGAGCCACTATGAATCAAATTTTGCCATCATGAATTTGTTGATGATGCAAATTGATTGACAATATCTTAAAAAGCCCTTAACTATCCTCAATGAAGTTTCAGAGATACATCTCCTAAACTCTGTGTGAGTTTCAAAAGGAAATAATGTAAAACTACAAACTTAGGATTTTCAAAAGAGATATATTTTTCACAGTCTGGTATACAGTGTCATGTGTGTAGGCCAAGTTTATGAATGTGGCCATCTATGAAGAACAAAGATCTTTAAAAAACAGAAAGTGTGTATGACCATGAAGACTAACATATATACATGTAATTTAAATTTGTTTGTAGCAGGGTGATGGTGCAGATAATGTTGACAGGGTCAATGAACTCATATCAGAGGTCAATGAACTTTCATTGAGCCAAGGTGCTGAGGAGAGAGTGCAAGAGAATGACTTGAACAGAGAAAAAGAGGCTTCGGCACCTGCTGGGACCGAGGAAGAAGAAATAAGAATACGATCCGGGAGTATGGTGGATAGAGTAGAACATACAGAGAGAGATCAAGTCGTAGAAGGTGAGTACCGGAAGTCTAATAGGATACATAGATGTGAGAGATGAGAGAAAGAGAGAGAGAGAGAGAGAGAGAGAGAGAGAGAAATAGTTAAATAAGATAGATAGCTAGATAGATATGAAGTAGTCGTGGTCGAGTGGTTTAAACGATTGACTGGAGATACGATGGTCTCTGATTCAAACCCCAGAGCAGCACTAATGTCCTTCCGTATTAGAGATTCTTCACCCACGTGATAAGTGGATACTGTCAGGAAAGAATTCCTTGTCATGTTGTGAGCACCGAAAGCAGTAGCTTAGCAGAGCCTGGCTGATATTTGAGCAACTTGAGCACCTTGCGGGGTGGATATGTGTGCTATAAAAAACATCCAATATCATTATTATTATCATTATTACTATTATTATAATTATAATATACATGTACGTAGATAGATATCATGGAAAATGGTTGTAATAATAATTGTGATTGAAGATTGCTTCCCTGTTCTCTAAGTTGTAGAAAGAAGAAAGTAAAAATGCTCTTAATTTGTATTTCAGATATTTACAGCACCGAATGGAAGCAACAGAAGAAACATGTGTTTGTGTTCAGTGATGCCGGCAAGCCTATCTATTCAAGGTGAGTACATGATGAATGTCTTATCATTCAATTAGAAAATGATAATAAAAATAGTGATAAACATAATAATAGTAAAGATAATAATGATGATAACAGTAATAATAATAAGCATAATACTACTACTACTTCTTCTACTACTACTACTACTACTACTACTACTACTACTACTACTACTACTACTACTACTACTACTACTACTACTACTACTACCGGTACTACTACTACTACTACTACTACTACTACTACTATTATTTCTACTTCTACTACTACTACTACTACTACTACTACTTATAATAATATTAATAATAATAATAATAATAATAGAGTATATTTATATAGCGCATAAAAATTGTAAATTTCTCTATGTGCTTTTCAGTTTTGTACAATCATAACAATTTATATATATATAAACAACATTAATACAACAATAAATAACAAAATAGATAAGCAAATAATATTAATGATGATAGTGATTATAATTGTAATTTATATTATTATTTCATAATTTCTATTTAACTATATGCATGTGCCTAAACCTCTCATGACAGTGTATCAAGCAGAAAAGCAGAAATGAAAGAAAAAATGACAAAAATGCAGAACTATGTTTCAAATAACACAAAATTATTAAATACATGTATGTTCAATTTAGGTTGGTATTTTCAGTCGGGTCTCGATTTTGGTAGGTATGTTGGACATAATCTGAAAGAGCAATAGAGAGATAGCTTTCCTCGCTTAGAGAAATGTGGTTGGGTACGCACTCTACTCATTACAATCAAATCTAATGTTTGGTAGTAGACTGTTCCACATGCATATATCTGTTATTGTATATCAACAAGAGTTGTTTACGTTCTGTAAATACATGTATTAATGTTATTTGATAGCTTCTATGATTTTCTTTCTTTCCTTGATTAGATACGGGAAAGAAGACAAATTGAATCCTCTAATGGGTGTGATGCTTACATTGGTATCTCTTGTAGGGATTGAGAAGAACACACTAAGGTATGTACACAATACAGTCAGTCAAACCTGCTTTAGTGACCACCTGTATAGAAAGACCACCTGCATATATTCTGATTTTCTTGATTTTTAGGACCTAAATTTTTTTTTTTTAAGCTTGTTTTTTCATGTGCCTCGATTTTGAGAGTTCACATATTGCGTGCGTTGAATGACTGCATGATCGAGCAGCAAATTTGTATTCGCTTTTTGGTTCAGATTTAACGTGTATCGCCAGTTACACTGCAGCTGCAAGTGCGATTTCTTATTTTTGAAGGCATACCGTGGTAAAAATTCCTAATTCTTATTTTCAAATGTTGGCAGGTATGCACCTGTCTCCAAAGACCACATTTTGTGTTTTTTTTGTTTTGTTTGATAACGTTTTCTCATTGAATCGTGTACTAGAGGAACCTTTACATAAAGACCATGTGCCTGTAAAGACCCATAGCAATTTAGATTCACATTTTAGTGACTTTTTATTCTTATCTCTTAACCCATTTACTACTGAATTATCTCATTCCCATTGGCTAAACACAGGGACTGTCAGGTTCCAGGAAGCAAGGGGTTAATCCAGAATGTATGAGCAGAAATTGCAAAAGTCAATAGCTACATGAGTTCATGATTTCACGGATAAGAGCGATTTAATAGAAAAAAACAATTATTGAAGTCTCTAAATGGGCAACGCATAGTGAAATCTATGATCACTTTGTTGTTAGGCAGGACAAGCCATGATGTTTGTCCTACCTAACAATAACAATGAATGTATGCAATTTGCATTCTCACTATTTAAATACAATTATTCCTAACAGGTGAATGAACTAAGTTGTAACATGACACTTATCAAAGATTTGCGCATTAAATTTGATTACATTACGGAAATGGTCTATTGTGACACTAAAAATCAAAAGCTTGATTTTCTTTAAAGACACTCAGTAGTTAGCTCTCATGGGGAATTCAACACCGTTCGGGTGTTTACCCAATAAGAGGTGCTGTCAATCACCAGAATTAGCCTCCAGTTTTATGACCAGCAGACCTTATGTAAGGCGAGGCGTCAAAAATATCGATACCAGCAGGCTGCCGCCTCACGTATTGGCGCATCGAGGCTGCAATTACGGCCGAAGCCTGGTTGGGGCACTTATTTTTCACTTATTAGCCCAGCCGGCTTGCGCCAGGCTGGGATCTGAGGCTCGGTTTCCATTCGAAAGGCGGCAGCCGGCGCATGCTTTTGAATGCCATTTCCTACCGCCAGCGGTAGCCAGGTGAGCTAATTTAAAAAATGCAGCCAGGACGCACAAGTGCAGTTAGCTGCCGCTGGCTGGTATATTTATTTTTGACGCCTCGCCTAACGTACTGCATTTTCCACCCATTCCCCCACATGGTAAAGTCATCATCTCACTTTTCTGTCACCCAGAGATCTCCGAGAGACGAGGGGGTATTTTTCGATTGGCCTACGGGTTCGCTGTGTGCAGACCTGATATCTGTACACATGTTAATGATCTGTATCCATCAAGTATGGTGTCAGCGAATTATAGCCTTCTGCACATGGAAACTGACAAGTGACTCCCTTTAAGATAGCTGTTAATGGAACATGCAATGTGCCTTCAGTGACTATCAGCATACATGATGTAGAATGTTGAAGATGGTATATTGTGCTTTTACATTTATATCACATACAAGTATAACATGATTTATTTACCGATATTTTTTCCAGGTCATTTCGAGCTGGTAACCATCTGTATGTATTCTTATTACGGCAACCTCTTATACTCGTAGCTGTATCTAAAACAAAGGAATCCCAGCAACAGGTACGTCTCAATTTTAACATTAAAAAGATATCGCTATTTCAAATTAGCATTGAACTATATCCCCAATCCTGTAACACAGTGGCGGATCCAGGGGGGGGCCGAAACGGCCGCGGCCCCCCCTATTGGCGGCGCAAAAAAAAAAGAGAAAAAAAAAGAAAGGAGAAGAGAAAAAAAACGGGAGAAGAGAAAAGAAGGAGAAGAGAAAAGAAAAGAGAAGAGAAAAGAAAGAAGAGAGAGAGAGAGAGAGATAGAAAAAAAAGCAGAAGATTACCCCCCCCCCCCCCCCCTCCCCCCTCACTCCCATTCCGGGGTTGGAGGGACCGATTTTGTGTTCCCAAAATTTCCGATAAAGGGTTACTTTTCACGCAACAAAGTCCGGCCCGTAATACACACAAATCCGGCCCGCACTGACTTTACACACCGAAGACAAAGGGGTGCTTTCAAACTAAGAGAGGGAACATACATGCGCGTACCCTAGATAACACTGAGTGGGTGGGGGGGGGGGGAGGGGAGGGGAAGAGAAAAGTCGGGTGAGAAAGGGGAAAAGACAAGGAAATAGCGCTAAGTGACAGTAACGACGAATAAGGAAGAAACTGTAATCGGGAGATTTGGGGTCATTCCAGAAGGCTTGGGAAACGTTATTGAATAGAGGGGGCCGGGCCGGCCGCATAAAATCTTGAGCCACGGATTCAAAGTTAAACGTTACAAACAGCCCCTGCTTTTTGAAAAAATTGAAAAGGGCACAATATTTTGGATGTCTTTCAAATAGAAGCTATATACTAAACAGTCAAATTTTAAATTAACGGTAGGGCCGCTTCACAACTCTTATTTTGCCCTTCATTTGAATTCAGCTCATACCAACTCGCTTGTGCTTATATTTGAACTCATGTTGGTAGTGATAATGGACAGCGGCGGCGATCCTGGGCCCGATAGAGGGACACGTCCCCCTGGAAATTTAGATATATAGCTAGAAAGAAATATACATGTAGCGGAAAGAACGTAAATACTGGACTAAAGGATTTTCTAGAATGCATAATTTCAGCATTCTACATTGCAAAATCTCGCTTGGTCGCTACGCCCCGGCCCTCGCCCGATAACACAAAACTAAGATACGATGCTCCCGGTCGCGATTATTTCATGGTTGGTGTATAAATAGATCTTTTTTCCCCTTTCATTTCTACTGACCTAAGTGTATGCTATCACAATCATGATTATTACATTTTACCTTTAAAACATGCGTAGCTAGGGGCGGTAGGGGCAGTAAGAGGACATAGGACGAAAAAAGGAGCAGACAAAGAAACATTTTTGACAAGTCTAAAACGGTACAACAAATCATCTTCTTTCTCTAATAATTTAATGAAACGTTAAGCTTCTGCGCTTTGCGCTGGAGGGGGAAACTGAATTCAGAGAAGGATTAAGAGTCGGGAATGGAACAACAAATTATCTTCTTTCTCTAATAATTGAATTTAATGAAACGTCAAAGCTTCTGCGCTTCGCGTGAGAGAGGGGGGGGGAACTCAATTCAGACAAGGACTAAGAGTCGAGAACAGTACTCTTTCTCTAATGATTTAATGAAACGTCAAAGCTTCCGCGCGAAACTGAATTCAGATAATGATTAAGAATCGAGAACGGTACAACAAATCGTCTTCTTTCTCTAATAATTTAATGAAACGTCAAAGCTTTCGCGCTTCGCGCGGAAGAGGGAAGGGGGGGATTCAATTCAGACAAGGATTAAGAGTCGAGAACGGTACTCTTTCTCTATTGATTGAATGAAACGTCAAAGCTTCCGCGCTTCGCACGGGTGGGGGTATGGAAACTGAATTCAGACAATGATTAACAACCGAGAACGGTACAACGAATCGTCTTCTTTCTCTAATAATTTAATGAAACGTCAAAGCTTCCGCGCTTCGCGCGGAGAGGGGGGGGGGGGGGAAACTCAATTCAGACAAGGATTAAGAGTCGAGAACGGTACTCTTTCTCTAATGATTTAATGAAACGTCAAAGCTTCCGCGCTTCGCGCGGGAGGGGGTATGGAAACTGAATTCAGACAATGATTAAGAATCGAGAACGGTACAACGAATCGTCTTCTTTCTCTAATAATTTAATGAAACGTTAAGCTTCTGCGCTTTGCGCTGGAGGGGGGGGGGGAGATATGAATTCAGAGAAGGATTGAGGGTCGAGAATGGAACAACGAATTATCTTCTTTCTCTAATAATTTCATTAAACTATGAAAGGTCAATGCTTCAGCGCTTCGCGCGGGGGGAAGACTGAATTCAGACAAGGAATAAGAGTCGAGAATGGTACAACAACTCGTCTTCTTTCTCTAATATCAATTAATAAAAGGTCAAAGCTTCCGCGCTTCGCGCGAGAGGGGAGGGGGAGAGCAGGGGGGGGAAAAACTAAATTCAGACAAGGATTAGGACTCGAGAATGGTACAACGAATCCTCTTATTTCTCTAATAATTTCATGAAACATTAAAGCTTCTACGCTTCGCGCGTAATGGGGCGGGGGGGGGGGGGAGGGAGGGGAACAGCGAGCTGCCCGAATATGAATTTGTTATATCTTTTCTCGTATATTTTGGTGATAAATAACACTTTCACAAAATACATATTATCCTCAAATTTTTGCTCGCTCGCTTCGCTCACTAGCCGAATTGTAAAACCAGAAAATTACTTTTTCGGGCAAGAGGCTTCCCCCCCCCCCCCCCCCCCCCCCCCGATGAAAATGTCAAAAAAATTACCGGTATGGTGCTTCTAATATGACCTTGTCAGTATTGGTATATTGAGTTGAAAAATGGTCTGCGCAATTTTCAAATTTCCGGCCCCCCCTATTGGAAAATCCTGGATCCGCGCCTGTAACACTTATATAATATTGCATGACAAGAAAACAAAGCCATGTAATATTTATCATTATCTATATCAGGTTGACTAGCAAAATAACAAAATTTGACTTACCTCGGTAAATATAGCTTTTTTGGGGGTGTGATATCGATAGTTGAAGTTCCCGGATGACTGAGCAATGCAAAAACAATATTGGTCGGTCATCCGGGTGCTGCCCTAAAGATGTTGAATACGCTGATTTATTGTACCACTTGGGAGCCTCATATATATAATAATCTGTTTTCTTTCAGTTACTGATGCAGTTGACGTATGTGTACAACCATATAATCAGCGTGTTGACATACTCACAACTCTCCAGTATCTTCAAGAGGAGGGATAATTATGATCTACGAAAGCTTTTAGGAGGTAAGCATTTATATTGAGTTGATTTTTTCTTGTAAGTCTTTTAAAGATACTTTGGAGATGGTGCACAATGAATCTGATGATTGGGGTAATAATATCTGTACATCACTTAGAGACAGTATTTTATATTAAAGCTATATAAATCCAGAATTTGTCCAGATTATTTTTATTTTTATTTTTTAACTTAATGGGTCCATAACCTCTTCTTGTTGTATTCCAGGTACAGAGATCTTCCTTGATAACTTAATAGAGCTTATAGACCATGACCCATTCTTCCTACTCCCATGTCTCTCTTTCTATTTAATACTTTAATGAATTCCATAATTTCTTCTTGTTGTATTTCAGGTACAGAGATCTTCCTTCATAACTTGATAGAGCTCATGGACAGTGATCCATGCTTCCTACTCCCCTGACTCTCTTTCTATTTAATACTTTAATGATTTTCATAATCTCTTCTTGTTGTATTTCAGGTAAAGAGATCTTCCTTGATAACTTGATAGAGCTCATGGACCGTGATCCATTCTTCCTAATCCCCTGTCTCTCTTTCTATTTAATAATTTAATGATTTTCATAATTTCTTCTTGTTGTATTTCAGGTACAGAGATCTTCCTTCATAACTTGATAGAGCTCATGGACAGTGATCCATGCTTCCTACTCCCCTGACTCTCTTTCTATTTAATACTTTAATGATTTTCATAATCTCTTCTTGTTGTATTTCAGGTACAGAGATCTTTCTTGATAACCTGATAGAGCTCATGATCTGTGATCCATTCTTCCTACTCCCCTGTCTCTCTTTCTATTTAATACTTTAATGATTCCATCATCTCTTCAATGATTCCAACATTTTTTTTGGTTGTATTTCAGGTACTGAGATCTTCCTTGATAACTTGATAGAGCTGATGGACCGTGACCCGTGCTTCCTCTTGACTGCTATCAGGTGTCTACCATTGGACAGTGCAATACGTGATATGATCGGTAGTGCTATGCATAGTGCAAAGGTTAAGGACTTGGTCTTTGCCATCCTCATAGCGGACAACCAATTAGTCACTCTTGTGAGAATGAAGAAGTATATCCTTCACCCAGCTGGTAAGTTGATAATTAAAGGGATCGTTTAACAATGTTAAATCTGAGCTGCACGGCCCTACATGTTATCAGTGTCTGTGATATGGTGTTATATTGAAGCCCTAAAAAAATTGCACTTCAAAATGATCAAGAAGTGCCTCAAAAAAGTAAAACCCTTTGAGTGACAGCCTAGGCTGTGAGACTGATTTTGAATAAGTAAACCATTAGATGTCCAAAATGGAGTATGAGAAATTTTCATAAGTAATCTTTTTCATGTCACTTTACTGCTACACGTCATGTGTCTGCTGTAGAGAACTTCAGGGGGGGGGGGGATTTCAAAAAGATCCTAAGTAGAAGTTATCTCTAAGTTGGACTTAAAATTTATGGAGAGCCATTTGTAGCCTGAAAATAAAATATATTCAAAAGCGATATTTCAAGTATTTTACACATTTTATAAATTCCACATCAAGAACATGAATCTCCTTGATAATAGAAAATATGATTGATTTTAATCAACATTCTATGCCTTTTAACATAACTTTTACTAAATATTTTCATAGATGCTAATGGCTTTCCAAAAATGTTTAGTCCGACTTAGAGATAAGTTCAACTTAGGATCTTTGTGAAACCCCCTGGCAAATGTGATATGATTTTTTTCACTTTGAAGTCATGATTTTACTATAACTGCATCTAAATATTGGAATAGGCTACCTTTAACACTCGGACAATCACCATCTGTCTCTTCATTCAAAAAGGGACTTAAAACATTTCTTTTTTGTAATCCAGATTTTTAGGATTATGTAAGTTTTCATTTTTATTTTTGGTATGGTTTTTCTTGTTGTAAGTGCTTTGGGCCACTCTGGGAAAAGCGCACTATATAAATAATAATAATAATAATGATTCTTCAATGGTATGGCATTATTTCTTTTTATCTCATTTTGCTTTAGATTTGCATCTTGTTTTGAATCTTCTCAACAAATCCACTTCCTTCAAGCACTCTGACTCCTGGTTGCCAATTTGCCTACCTAAGTTTGATAGTAGTGGTTTCCTTCATGCGCACATCTCGTACCTTGCTGAGAGTCCTGCTTGTCTCGTCCTCCTAACGGTCGATAAAATGGCCTTTGCAGAAATGGCAAAATGCAAGGAGAAAATCTTAGAGGTAATTTGCGAGTTGTCATAGAGAGTAGGCAAATGTGCATTTTGTATTAGTGCTGTGAACACTGATCTAAAGTTGATCACCATGTGAATAAAATGTGACTGAAAATACCCATTCTGTTTGTCACATATACATTTGTAGACGACAGGCCTGATAATTACCCGATTTGAATCGGTTTCCTGCTTTATTTATTTTTTCCTGTTTTATTTCCTGACTTTACCCTATTTTACTGAATTTTCCCTATTTTCCCTATTTTTTTGTTAAATGCCATTTTTTTCTTCCTTGAATCCTTTTTTTTTTTTTTACTCAAGGGGGGGGGGGGGGGGGGGGGGGGGTTGAGGAAAAAAAAAAACCTAAAATTTTTTAGTGCTCACTTTCACCCCTGGTAGAGGTGTCGTAGTTGAGGGGTTTAATAACTTGAGTGGAAATGCAAACTTACTGTAGGTGGTGGGTTTGAGCCCCCAGCACTTGAGCATTGCTCCTCTCTCCACCCAGGTGTTAATGGGGTACCCGGTAGGATGCGAACGTCATTGTGTAGTGGTCAGATTAGCATGTGTGTCACGCCTGTCACTAGGGGCGACTAGCTGGAATGCTCCCAAGGGAGTGGAGATTGTGCACTATAAACTGCAGAATGATGATTGAATCCAGTGACTGGGGTAATAATGTTACTGTGAGCACTTACATGTAGGTCAGTTAATGGTAAAGCACTATGTAAGAAAGCAACTTTGGTATTATTATTATTATTATTAGGATGGAGCATTAAAACTATTCTTAGGTCAGGGGATGCCATTTTTCAGGCAATAGCCTGAGTTCAGGCCCTGGCAAGTTATTTTCAGACCATAATTTAGGCTTTTTGTGTACAAAATAGCTCATTCTAGGTGATTTTCAGGCCCTCTAATCAATTCTATCGGGCATCCCTGAAGGTCATAACAACACTGATGGAGCAAAAGAGAATTATTTTATTGTGTGACATTAGCATAGCACGTGACTTTTAAATAGTTTCATTTTAGGCCATGTCATACTGGTCAGTCCCCTCAATCTTTGTTGTTTTATTTTTTTGTGGCAGAAATTACAGAAGAACAACTGTATAGCTGCCATCCAACGAGCTGTGTCCAAGGGCAGTTTCCGATGTCAAGAGGTCGGCATTAGTGACCTTCGCCACTTCTTGTATAAATCCCGAAGCACCGCCCAGTATACTGCACCAGAACTGGATGCTCCCTACACGCAGCCAGATGAGAGAGATAGGTATGGTGATGATTCATTTTACCATTGATATTGCATTTATATTTGATATCTCTGGGGAGTGTTTCACAAAGACTAAGATTGACTTTAAGTTGGACTTAACTCTGGCAGGCCATTCATGCAACGAGTTTCTCTAACCATTCATGGCATTGCTCTATCAAGGGACATACAAATCATGGTCACAAATCTACATAATTCACCTTTTTTGATAGTTCTTTATTGAAGTTTAAAATATTATCCAAAGATCATAATTGAGAGACCAATGATGAGAGCAACCAGTGGCATGAACAGCCTGCCATAGTTAAGTCCAACTTAAAGTTGATCTTAGTCTCATCATTGGTCTCTCAACATTTAGTTAACAACTAAATTATTCATACATCTTGTGCATTTGATGTGTTTTTCATAACTCAAGAAAGAGAGGTGGAATTGTTGAATTGGGGCCTCCTTTGAATACTTTTAGATGTAAGCTTCAATACGTCGCATTCTCAAGAAACAGATATGGACAAATCAATTTTGCACATACTACAAAACAACAAAACTTGGTAAGGGTACAAATAATTGAGTTATTAACTGTATGTAAGATGAGACTTTTCTTGTATTTTGCAGGTTATTATCATTATACCAGTACACTCATCAGAGAGTCCATAGTCCATCAAGACCACTTAAAATCATGTTTACCGTAGGATCTAAAGAAGCTGTTTTAGGATGGGTAAGTTCATTCAAACTAATTTTGTGTTTCTTTAAAGTTACTCAAAACTTGTAATGATCTGTTTCTCTCAATCTTCTGCTTCATAATGAAATTCACTTAATATCGGGATGGCCTTCCACTTAACAAAGCCATGGTTTTACCTGCCATTATATTATTACAAAGCCAGCTTACACTGAGGTTTCTTGTATAGCGCTCAATTCTGTCAAACTTGACACTCCTGGCACTGCTTTAGCATAGCTGCCATTATGAAGCTTTATAATTTCAAGGAATTACTTTCTGCCAGGTACCCAATCACCTCACGCAAATGCTAAATGTCTTGCCAAAGGCAGTCCTGCTGTGGCAGAGATTCTTAATACCCCTTACCCTGTGGTTTGCAGTCCAGTGACTTATCCCCTAGGCCACAACACGGTATTAAAGATGCGACCGTCATTGTTGGTCAAACAGTTTTTGAGCGTCCAGTAACGCCTGGCTGGAATGCTCCCCAGGGAGTGGAGATTGTGCACACAGTGTGTGCAGGCAAGCACTGAATCCAATGAACGGGGTAATAGTAAATCTGTAAAGCGCTTAGAGCCATCATATATGGACATGTATTAAGCGCTATATAAAAGCGGAATTAATATTATTATGTTTTAATCGTTTTAATTAACAATATTTTGATTTGATTTGTAGGTAACTGGAGGGTTTGAACTGTTTGCCATCTTTGGTCCTCTAACCACCAAACAAGCTGCTATATTTGCTGTCAATAAACTACTCAAATGGATCAAGGTAAGTACATACTTCCCAAGGGTTATTCACATAGGATGTTTTCAATCCTTTCAAAAAAGCCACAGTTTAAAGACCGTCAATACTACTGGGCCAGAACGGATTAGACCACACAGCAAGGTCACTGACAGGTGGCTATCTCATTAACTCAGCTCTCAACTAACATAAGAAAAAGAGGATCATGGGGGACCAACAGGCACCGATGGGGAAGTTTTCTGTATAGAGGGAGCAAGTAGCTACATGAACTAGTAGGACAGTGGGGCTTAAAAAAAACAACATACAAATGAACACGGAATAAACGTTCTGCACGTATTCCCTGAATTCTGTTTTATATCATAAGATGTGTGCGTGTGTGTCTCCCGTTGTTCCTTTCTATCTTTTTGTGTCTGCCTTTTGATTTGATGTAAGGCCTTTTTGGGGGCCCTTTGAAGCTGAATTTGATTGGCTATTTTTTTTTACTTAGGCAGCATTACAAAATGTCATTCAAGACATGCTTTTGCACGCAAATTCCCTCAAACGGGGTCATAGTACTACTTTGATGTAAGTCACTAGCTGTAACAGACTTTCTGCAAGTCCCATAAGTGGCCTTGGGGGTGTTTCATAAAGCTGTTTGTAAAGTTATGCATGACTTTACGTCTACATCAACTACATCAACTAAAGTTGAACTGTGGAGATGTAGATTAACTTTCTTATTATAACAAACATCTTTAATGCAAAGTATATTTTGCCATACCCGGTAATTTAATTGAGGTTATTGGAAATATCAGAAAAAACTTTGGGCATCCTATCTGGCACTTCATATACAATTCGTTCGTAAAGTCATGCGTAACTTTACAAACAGCTTTATGAAACACCCCCCCCCCCCTGATATTACAAGCAAGAGTCAAACATGAAGGTATTTAGGGGTATTGGCGATAGCGTGAATTTAACGTTGATATACATGGAAAATACAATAAAAGAGTGCTGCGTTGTTTTTTGATATTTACAGAAAGAAGAGACAAGGTTATTCATCTTGAACCCACCAGAGTATTGAAGCAGTCAAGCTGCATCATGCTGCTATCAAGGATACCTCATACAAGGCTGTGAGGTCTGCTGTTTCATCTGCTACGAGACTACAGAGTTTGCCATTGACTGCTAACAGCTAACAGTTATTCTGTATTGCAATTGTAGACCAGCCACTGTCGTAAGGAAAGGACAGAAGTATGCATTTTGAGTCTCACTGCTGTTTGGGAACTGTTGCAAGGAGTGGCATAATCAAGATGATAATAATTTAAATTGTAAATTGGAAAGTATAACATGTCCAAAGAACTTTCAAATTTACATGTATCCATTTTGTACATAGACATGTACATGTATGACTATAATATGTGCTTAGCATACATGCAAACATGCCTGACAGTGCCAGTGGCAAAGGTGGTCTGGTGGTTAAGTTACTTGCCTGTGAGCCTTAAGGAACAGGGTTCAGATCCCTGCCTCAGGACGTAACAACCTGCGACAACTCATTGATCTGCTATGGTTACCTGAGCTACATGGAAAGCATATTTTTCTAAGCGCTAACAGACGTTATATCATAATGCATTTAATGACCATTGGCACACCTAAACAGACATCCGAAATCAAATTGAACCGTGTATCAAGTGGAGATTCTGTAATAGAAACATCTGTTAATGCAAGAAATCTCGGAGTACAGTTTGATGCGCATTTGAATATTAGAGAACACATCACAAATTTTTTGTAAATCAGCATACTACTTGATCTATAATCTCAGACGTATTCGTAAATACTTAGATAAGAACATTATGAAAGACGGTTGTTTATGCATGTATCACCGATAAGTTGGACTATTGTAATGGTCTACTGTATGGTATCACTGACTCTCAAATAGTGAGATTGCAAAGGGTTCAAAACACCTGTGCAAGGCTGATCTGTGGTTGTTCCAAATTCACATGGATCATCCCAATTTTAAGAAATCTACATTGGTTACCAGTACACCACAGAATAACATTCAAAATTTGCTGATTGTACATGTATATAAAGCACTTCTTGGACAAGCTCCCACTTAATATATCAAAGAACTGTTGAATTTCAAACCTAATCAACACAATCGCAACTTGCGCAGTTCCCGAGATACAATGTGGCACTGGGAGATTATTTGTGTGGCATATAAAGAGTTGTAAAATGCACCATTCATAATCATCCGAGATGAGGTCTCTGTAATGAAATGCGGAATATATTCTTCAACAATTAATTTTCAAACTGCATTTTGTTATGCGGATGATGAGTCATTTGGTTTGTCAATCCCGATATTCCCCTTTGCCATCTGGTGGATGTTGTACTGTTTTGTAAGAATTATTTTTATGTATTGCATTGTTTGTATATTCTAGATAAATGTGTATATATTATTACTTTATATCAACTCATATTTATGTGACCCTGCACCACAAAACCACCCAAAATTTGTCAGAAATGGCATTTTGGTTTAGGTCTGATTCTGAAAGATTGGATGTTCCTAACCCATTGGAAAAAGGAGGAGAATGCCCTGTGATGGAGAACTTTACCTTAGCAAAAAGGGATTATCAGATTGTCCTAAAAGTTGTCACACCAATTCTATGCATCCTGTTTTTTGTGTCTAGGTATCAATGCAAAAGCTCACTCTTTTTTCAAGTTATGGGAGATTGAAATGAGACCAGTAGCCAGGGTCTCAACAAAATTAGAACTACCGGTACTACAAAATAAACACATTAACAACAAATCAAAATCAGCCAAATATAGGCCTACAAAACGCTGCAAAAAATTCTAATTCTAGATAATATGGTGGTTCAAAATTCGGTAATAAGATAGAAGAAAGTATATTTTTTCAGGAAATGCTAAAAACTAAACTTTTCTTCAACCTGACAAAATACACCTTTAGAGCTCTAACAAAAAAAATCACACTATGCGACTTTTAGTGGTTTTGTGGTGCAAGGTCATATTTATAGTTGCCGATTCAAAAGTTTATCACCAAATATTTTGGAGTATTTGAGGAGATTTGTTTAATGTACATGAGGAAAGGGATAGTGTAATAAGAGACATCAGGGCTTCTCAAAGTCCACACAGCTGTGCTTGTTAATCCGGACCTTGGGGCATGACATCCCAATGGCTCCCTCCCCTGGGGGAAAAAAACAGGTAAAACACGTTCATTTTACCTTTTTAAAAAAAAATTTACTTAGGGCTCATGGGGGAGGGGGTGCGATTTTTCAGATTTCCGAGAGCCCCCCCCCCCCAAAAAAAAAAAAACAATTACTGTTTGTAGGAATTAGTTTTTCTTATTTTTATATACCTCACTTAAGAAATCCAGCCATCTGATTGGTCGAAATTGCAGTCGTGATTTTAGCCATTCCCGTAAGGAAACGAAAAATGCCAAAACCGATTAGTAGTACAAAAGATTAAAATCCCTCAAAATTCCAGTTACCGGGAAAATAATAAAATCTTGCTCCGATACCCAATGGTTTACGTGTTAAAATGTTCTTTGAGTGAGCACGGACACCATACAGTGCTTTTTGTCTGCAATAAACAGACAGCTTCTCAGATTTTTCATGATTTCTTAACCAATCTTTACTCAATAAAAGGATAAGGTAAGAATTCTTCGTAAATTTTTGTTTGAATTTGGCATATAAAAGGGATAGCGACTGCTTTAATACTCGAGGACTGGCCGTTTTTATAAGCTCTTTGAAAAATTTCATCCGCTGCTATCACCCTGAAGCACGCCTGGGTCTTGAGCGTATAAAAAAAGCCAGTCCTCTCGTAACAGTCGAAATCTCTATATTATATTTTATTGATGGTTTACATGATTTTTTTTGTGTCCACTTTTGTTGGTGTTGCTGAGTGAAGCTATGTTTGCTATACAAAGTCATCAGTGTATAATATGATGCCAGTGCCATCTGTAAATATCTACAGGTTTCAAACGAAAAATTGTATATATCAAATTATTTATCATTTCAACTTGATGGAGATAAAAAGTATGCCTAAAAACATTTACAAGTTATGATGTCAATTGTTTTTATTTTGTCATTTAGTTTTTGAAAATTCATTTCGTGTTGTTTTGCATTTATTGGGAAATCCAACCTTTGTAATAAGTCATTAGTGTGAACACAGAAAGATAAGAGAAGTAGAATGCCCAAAAAATTCAGACCAATAATAAATCTCAAATTGGCAATTGATCAGAGGATTGTGATGTAGTCCTGGGGGTGTTTCACAAAGATCCTAAGTTGAACTTATCTCTAAGTTGCACTTAACAATTATGGAAAGCCGTTAGCATCTTTGAAAATACCTTGTAAAAGTTATTTTAAAAGGCATAAAATGTTGATTCAAATTATTTATATTTTCTATTGGCAAGGAGATTTCACGTTCTTGATGTGGAATTTATGAAAAGTCCAAAATACTTCAATTTTTGCTTTTGAATGTATTTTATTTTAAGGCTACAAATGGCTCTCCAGAATGTTTAAGTCCAACTTAAAGTTAAATTTGACTTAGGATCTTTGTGAAACACCCCCCTGAATAACTCTCCTGATCGTACGTAGTGTACACAAATATTGTTCATTTATGTTTTTCTCCTCGGCACCTTCACCCTTTGGTACTACTAAAAGTATCATGGATAGCATATAATACATGTAGGCTTGGTCCTCGATATGGATCATTTCAACTTCAAATTAAGTTTTTTTTTGTATTCCTCTTGCCAAAGGTAAAGATTAATTCAAATTCAAACATGATTATAAAGAAACTGACCAGACATGAATTAAGATAACAATAGGGCAGTTCAAGATGGAATTCAAACAGGATGGGGGCACGTGCCCCCCCCCCCCCCAAAAAAAAAATTCCAAGATCGTTTGGAACTTTTTTACACTGCTTTTTCCATATTGTCCTATGTTTTTTAGAGCACATTTTTTTTTTTTTTGGTCCTCGGAAATTAAAAAATTTGCACCCCCCCTTAAGCGCCCTTTTGGGGGCCCCCCCCAGGTGTTTTTTATGATTTTTTTTCTCAAGGGGAGGGGGGGGGGGGGGGGAGCGCCCCCCCCCCCCCCCTGGATCCGCCACTGATTAAAGCTGCCTTTTTTTGAGGAACCGTTTAGTGTGAATAACTAAATAATGAATATGATATGGCGTTTCAATCCAATGACCGACTTAATAATATTTGTATATGTGCTAAGAGACCGTAGAGATCGACGGTCTGTCATATCAGGCGCTATTTAAATCCAGATTATTATTATTATTACTCAAATCAATCTAATTTAATCCAATCAAATCCGGTCATCCAATCTCAACATTTGATGTCACAAAATAATGTGAAAATAAGTCTTGTAATGAAACTAGAATACTCGTGTGGATTCACGTGTGATAACTAATAACAGTGCTCGAGACCGCCGTCAAAATGCAACTTTATAAAGAAGCAACACGGACAATTCAACGATTTAAAGAGTGTTGTGGATTGTTGAGGTTCCATCAAACTCTCAGACGTCATAAAAGTAGTAGATACAGCGACACGTTGAATTTACCCAACACTTCTTTTGAGCTATGGGGTGCAGGGAACAGAGAGCAGTCAGTTCAATCGGTACGTTGCTTTATTATCCCCCGGCGCTCCAGGACCAGGCAGCGTGCACATGCCTAGCCCTAGCTTGTTCCACGGTGATGGGGCTTTAATTTCAGTCCCATATGCCTGATTTGATGTTGCACGTCAGTAACCGACAATGTCTACTGAGCTCCTCGGGATAAACCGAAAGGCAAAAGCTTCAGTCTCTGATGTTTCTCTGATGTACAGTCACTATTGCAACATAAGTTTACTTTGTATGTTATACATTTGGGTATTTCTAGTAGATCTAGGGTGTCTGAACGATTTTTCAATTTTCAATTTGGGATCGTTTTTCACCATTTTTGTTTGATATTTGAATAAAAAGTGTAATCAGAATAATACATTTCAAATTTGAAGCTTCACCGATGTTTCAATCAAAAGATACAGCCCCTCCAAAATGCTGGTATATTCATATCATTTTGGTCAAAATCGACGAAAAAGACGTCCACGCAGAGTGATGTTGTTTTGCTAAATTTAGCCAAACAGCTGTATCGCGCGATATGCAAGCGTATGCATATCGTACGCATGCTGCTAAGCCAATGCGCGACTTGCAAGCTTGAGCTACGCTGTCTACGCGACACGTGCCATTGACTAGTATGGTTAGCGTTCGTCGCACAAAAAACCTGGAAGTGAATGCACGTTATAGTCAATGGCAATATCGCGGAGATGTCTCCGCGATATTGCCATTGACTATAACGTGTATTCACTTCCGGGGTTTATGGTGGGAACGGCCATCCATACTTTCATTCACTATAAGCGCACATGTTACGCGATGTAACCATGGTTTGGACTGAGCGGAGCTCACGCCTCCCTAATTAGCTGATTCCAAAAATGTGGGAAGGGTATTTTTAAACTGTTGGGGCGAGTGATCTCTTGGGGCTAGCGAAAAAATAAGTGCATACATATTTTCCTTACGTCTAGCCGGACATAAGCCCGGGGGACGCAGCTCAGGAAAGTGGCAAATTTTGGAGCTAGGATGCAAACAACATTTAAATCGCTGTTTTGACCAAGATATTTTGAGAATTTCGGGGGTGCGCCCCTTTGGGGAATATGGAGAAAAACCTGCTCTTTCATATGACACCTCATTTATTGAGTTTTACCTTCAGGATCACAAGCCCCAAAGGTTTGAATTTCAATTTTTTTCATAAAATCATTGACCAATTTTCATGGTCGCGCAATGCACGTAGACTGCATAGGGATGCGTGCAATCTCTATGGGAAGTATTTTAGCACACAACATCGGGTGCGCGATCAGACACCCTATTTCTAGTACAATTGCTTCCCAGATAAGTAAAAACTTCAGAACATCTTAAAATGCTCCAAACAAGACTAAAAAATGAATAAAAAAGATAGGGTAGCGCGCCCAGTATTCGGTCCATTCCCAGTGTAGTGACGGGGCGGTTATTATAGACAACTACGATACTGATAACTAATCAGAAGCTCAAGTAAGGGTAAATCCTACCATTGCTTGCAGCACTGTAGAATCTCGAAGACTCGACGGTGGAGCTCCACGAAGCTACGTTGAGATCCGAGACTCAGAGGAACACAGCAAACGGCATGTCGCGCGGTTACAGTTCCAGTCCAAATCTAACGTTCCCAGTGATAAGCACGCCCGCGGAAACTACCGCGGGTGTCGCCTAATGCGGGACTTACGCCCATATGCCGCCAGAGCCGTAGTGGCTCAGGCTGAATCACTACATTATTCCCCACTTAATGAGTTTGAAGCCTACTTCTAACTAAAACTAAACTAAAACTAACTTAAAACTACTCCTGTACCGCAGTGCGGGGTCACGCCGTTCCCGCTGGTGGATGGGTCAAGGACCCTCCTTGCCAGCACCGGTGAAGTCTTGGTCTTTCCAGGGGGCGGGCGCCTTTATCATACCTTATAACGTACTGTATTCCAAACTTTGGTACGGGAAATATTATGTAAAGTACAGGTAGAATGCACTGTAAAATGTAAAATGCACTGTATTCCACAATTTGGTATATTTAAGTACTAAATAGGATTCAAGTCCCGGAAATGTCCCAGGGATCAAGAACAGAAAGAAACAGAAATATACCAGTTAACCCTTACCGTGCCGGTGTCACGTGTAAATGACAAAGAATAGCAGTCCTGGCACGGGCGTAAGGGATTAACGGGGGCATTACAGGCATAGAGAAACAGAAATATACCAGTTAACCCTTACCGTGCCGGTAATACATAATGAAAAATTGCAATACGTCTTGGCACGGGCGTAAGGGATTAACCGGGGCATTACATTAAATTCCCAAGGTGACCGAGCATGAAAGTGTGAGTGATCAACATAAACGATGAATGGCAATAAGTGTGCAGAAAAGGGGAAGAGCCCAATGGCTCCCCATTCCCCAAGTGCAGTTTGGATGGTACAATGTCCAGAAACTGGGCAGTCCCACATGAGAGCCAAACGGCTCCCTACAGGCAGTCCAAACGGTGCATATAAGAAGTATTAGAATGATAAAAGCAGATCACTGAAATCAGATGGAAAATGATATAGAAGGTGAAAACACTTCCAACAAAATAAGATTACATTCTCTGGGCCACTCGGCACCCGGGGGCACAATAGCCACTGCCGGCAAGTTCCAGATATCATTCAGGGCACCCAGGCCCGTAACACCATCAAGCAAATCCAAAAGGCTCTTGTTGATCCAGAGGAATTACTCCAGAGGAATTACTCCCCCAAAACATGATCATATTCTGACTTATTATTGGAACCAGTACCACGTAGTGTCACTTGGGAGATATCAAAAGCCGGCCGTTTTATGGCCTCGAACACACATGAGTGCTCTGTCTCCCTGTGGAAAGAATGCTTCCTAGTCAGCTCTTAAAGCGGAGCAGCTAATTCAGCATAGATAACTCCGCTAACCGAAGCAGAAACTTTTCAGTTTTATTTAATTGTTATCTATTCAGTTTAAAAACATCAACACTTAAAGTTCAGGAACTCAGAATGGACGATTTACAATGAAATTAAACAGTGTAAACAAAAGTGAACTAAAATATATATATTTAAGACAAACATGTTATTTCCCAGGAACAGGAACCGGCACCATGTCCTCGCGGACGAGCCGTTGTGAATGGCTTTGATAATGAACCATAATATATATACTTAACATGTTATTTCCCCCGATCAAACACGATCCGAGGAATCCAAAATGGGAGCCTGTGGGTGGGCTGGAAAAGGGAAAGGTCCTTACTCTGGAGCCCTGGACTCCCAACAACCTTACATCTTACCCGCTTCCCACTAGAAGGAGGCACCACGGCCGTCCTAGCGACTACCTGGACAAAGGGACCGACCGAAGAGTCAGGCGGGTCACTAACATTATTTACCTTGACAAAGGGACCGACCGAAGAGTCAGGCGGGTCACTAACATTAACTACCTTGTCCAAGGGACCGACCGAAGAGTCAGGCGGGTCACTAACATTAACTACCTTGTCCAAGGGACCGACCGAAGAGTCAGGCGGGTCACTAACTACATTAACTACCCCAGTATTTACCGATTGTAGGCCTCTCGGTTTCCAGATCGGAGATCGGCCTCGCTCTCCGATCCCTCCAGGTTTTCCGGAACACCAGTAGCCACGGGAGATAGAGGGCGGGCATTGGAAAGCATAGAAAACTCCAAAGACTTAACAGTCTTCAGTATTTCTTCTAGCATACAATCGGTGTTGTACGCATGCGTCTTAAGACTGGCGACTTCCTCTTTTAAATAGCCAATGTCATTCCTGGCCTGAACTTCAAAAGGCGTTGTGACCTTCCCCCGGTCCTCCACAGGAGCCGGACGGGGAACATCTCGACCTTTGCAAGTCTGCTGCACCTGCTGCCGAGAAGCTGGATATAAACGGCGGGGCTCGCTCTCGTACACTACACGTTGGGTGTACTGTGCCCACCTGATGGCATCCAGAGCCTCCTCGATGGACCTTGGGCGCGTATTTAAAGCTGTTAAACCAGCCGCCTTATCGATACAACCCTGGCATAGTTGCAACACCATTTGAGTGTCGTCACCCCTACGGTCCCACCCAAAAGCCTCATGGAACAATGCTTGGAGCCGGTCGGACCACCCAAGGAGAGACTCTTCCGGGAGTTGGCGAGCCGTTCGAAATTCGGCTATGGCCTCCTCCAGAAATCGGGTAGCCCCAAACCGACGCCCCATCGCTGTCAACATTGGGTAATAAGAATTAGTGCCCATATCCCTAAGGTTAGAAAAACAATCTGAGGCAGACCCCTCCAAACACCAGCCTAGTGCATCCAAACACTCACTCGGACTCCACTGACACGATACAGCATAACTGGTGAATTTCCTGAGAAAGGAATGCCAACTTGTTCTCCCATCAAAACTAAGCGACCTCGGCAGACGGGGGGGGGGGGGGGGGGGGGGGGGGGGGGGGGGGGGGGGGGGCCAATCCCGGCGCCCCTGCGACCGGTACTCTCCCTGACCCCCTGGTGAGGATTCCCTGGGAGGGTACTGAATGTCACGTCGGGATTCCCCAGAAGGGGGATAAACATAATCCCTACGTGGGGGTTCCCTGGAAGGCGGACCATAATTATTAGAAGGGGATTCCCTAGAAGGGGGATAACAATAATCCCTACGTGGGGGTTCCCTGGAAGGCGGACCATAATTATTAGGAGGGGATTCCCTAGAAGGGGGATAACAATAATCCCTACGTGGGGGTTCTCTGGACGGGGATTCCCTAGGAGGATAAGACCTGTCGGGCGGGGATTCCCTGGACGGCGGACAGTCAACGGCCCTAAGCCGATACTCGGCTGTGGGCTCGGCTGGGGAGCTGGCCGGTTGCGGCGAGCTCCTCCCCTGCTGTTGCTCAGCCGTAGAACTAGCTACAGGCCCAGCTGGGCCTCCATCTGTAGGTTTAACTATCTTAGCCTGATAAGGCTCAAAATCAAATAAACGTAAAAGCTCCTTGGCTTCATGGAGACGGGGACACTGCAAAAATAACTCCTCAGTTAAGCTCCCACATTGCTCCCTCCAACTAATAATTTTGCCAGACTTTGTTTTATCGACAACCCTAAGAAGGGTCTCCTCAGTCACATAATTAACTTTAACCTTCTCTGAGGCCATAACCGGCTTTAAATCAGCAACGGTTAAATAGCCAAATGATAAAATTAAATACACAAACAATCTTTCCTTCTTGCTTACTTAATAATACCCTACTTAGTTTCCTAATAGCTTTAAGTCAAAGTGCCTGACAGGTAAATATTGAAACCTTAACCTCACCGAAAAAAACACCGCGGAATTATCTCCACGGTGAACAGCTTCAGCGAGTGGGCCAAAACTAAACCCTACTAAGTAACACTAAAGGACTAGGTCTACACTTAAACCGGCAACATACCTCACCGAAAAAACACCGCGGAACTATCTCCACGGTATAATGCTCGGCGAGATGGCCGTACAATATTAGTAATGATGAAATGAAGGTGAAATTAAATACCACCCACGATTTAACCCAAAATCCACAGATATACAAAACAAGACTGACAGTCAAAAATCCCACTTAGGTACCTACCCAATCCTTCCTTCTTGCTTACTTACTAACGTACGTAGTTCCAGAAAATAGATATAGAATCTACTTGCTTACTTACTAACTTACATGTACTTAGTTTTGTACAGAAAAGACCTATTGCCTACTTAATAATAAATAATCCTGCCGATTACGCCATTGTAGTGACGGGGCGGTTATTATAGACAACTACGATACTGATAACTAATCAGAAGCTCAAGTAAGGGTAAATCCTACCATTGCTTGCAGCACTGTAGAATCTCGAAGACTCGACGGTGGAGCTCCACGAAGCTACGTTGAGATCCGAGACTCAGAGGAACACAGCAAACGGCATGTCGCGCGGTTACAGTTCCAGTCCAAATCTAACGTTCCCAGTGATAAGCACGCCCGCGGAAACTACCGCGGGTGTCGCCTAATGCGCAGCTGAACAACTTTTCTTAACTCTCAAAATTAAACCAGATTTAGGGCCCCGGAAAGATCTCCAACTTGGCTCGAAATTGGTCAGTGTCGCACTACATTTCCGCTTTCTGTTGGCACATGCGCTAACATACATAGCCATATGTAGAAGTCTATTGCGAAACAATTACGTGTGCTGTAGCAATGAATTTAGTATGTGTTTTCAAGAGGAGCTCGTTCGTGTTCGCTCCATTGCAGCGAATTTGCAAATGACGCACTTGCCGATGTGCAATAGGTATTTATACGATACCCTTGCCATGCGGTATCGCTCGTCAAGTATTCGGTCAACGCATTGACATTCAGTGCTTTATCGCGCAATTGTGTGAAAATAGTGCGCAAATATGCTTCGCTCCTTGGCAACGGAGATACCATGCACAAATCATGTGACCGAATTCTGGGCAGAAAAATGCTCCGTCTTCTTTCGAAAGTATTTTGCTTATCATTTTATATTTAAAGTGACTATAAAATCCTGTTAGAGGAATACATTTCTTTTCTTTTAATGGGTAGATTGCCAAATAAAAGAGGTAAGAATTTAAAATATTAGCGATTTCCCCTTAAGTGACCAAATACTGGGTGCTAGCTCTACCCTAGACCCCCTACTAAAAGTAAAAATGATCAAAAATACTTTCTTGATGCAGAATATCTAGTCCAAGGCCAAGGTCACCATTGAAGCTCATTTTGTAGAATTTTAGGCGTTTTTTCAGGACAAGGCAATTCTTTTTCTAACCATGTCATGTGTACGTACGGTGGCCGAGAAGTGGAGGTATCACGATCTCTGCCACCGACGTACAGCCATTGCACGTACACATGGCACGTGGAACTTCCCGCACTAAGCGCTGTACAGTGAGATAACGCGCCACGTAGAACTTCCAGCATTGAGTGCTGTACAATGAGTAAACACGCTCCCGGCTCCCATTGGCCGATCCGCTCGAGCGGTTTCAAATTCAAGTGAGAGAAGGCCCACTTAAAGTGACTCGGTAACATTGTTAAAGGTTGATGAAAAAAGTTGCTTAATTTTTGTATAAAATGTTACTTACTATATTCCTTCTACTATACTAACCCTCTGACATGCAAAAAATCCTGAACAAATTCTCAAACCACAAAGATATCTATGGTTTTCTTTGAAGGCGTTGATGTGAGGCACCCTCTAACAGTGATTAACAGTAAATTCTCCCAACCATTTTTGAATTTTCCCAACCGTTTTTCCATGAGAAAAAAAACATAAAACAGGCTATAAAAATCTGTCAACACTTAACTGTCTGGAATGGAATGTAGAGCCATTTTATTGCTTTGTGACAATTTACATTCACCTAAAATGTAATTAAATTGTCCTTGTCTTGATGCTGAACAGGCTTTGACAAGTAGCAGAATAGAAGTAGAATAATATAGTTGGGAGAATTAAGGAATCGATCAGATCAGTTTTTCCCAATTTGTACCATGAATAATGATGGGCCATTCCATGAGAAGAAGGACATGACATCAAAAAAAGAAATGTACCTCTTATGTTAATTCTTTGATTTATCACTAACCTTATGCCATGGATGTTCATAAAACATTAGGGCCTTTCAAATTCAATACAATTTATTTTTCATTTTTGTTGATTTCCTAAGATCTCAAACCATCATCAAAAACGTACATGTGGGACTGTAGATGAAAAAAAAACAATTTATTGCAGATTACACAGGATTCTTGTAATATTTTTTCCTGAAAATTTCGCTAAATTGAAAAAGATGAATATATTTCCATATTCTAAGCCTTTTCTAAGGGGTCCTGGGATATTTAATCTATTACATAGGGGTGAAAATGGCCTCCGGACAAAATGTAACGCGAGTTACCGTAACGTGAGTTACCGACATATTTGCTTCCTGCATTTTACTAGTCCATTGTTTCTTATCTTTAATATTGTGATCTTATACATGTAAGTCTCAACCTACTATCAACGTAGGAAAGATTTTGTCAAGATTGTCTAGTATGAGGAGACTTTGCCAAAAGAGGGTCTCATAGAATTGACCATGTCCTTTTTTTGTAACGCGAGTTACCAAAATTCAATAATCCAAGAATCTAAAAATGTTTGTTCTTCAATTTTCTTTTTTGTTTCATTCAGTTGTTCTATATCTACCCTGTCCATGTTTGAAAAAAGTATCTTGTAGATCCTAGCAGTTCCTAAGATATACACTGTAGGCACATTATCGTGTCAATGTACCCATTAGGTGTAACGCGAGTTACCATGGAATGGCCCTGATCCGTTTTCACTCAAATTTTCAGATTATCTTTAACTGTACATCTAGCATTGAAGTCACTACCTTAGCACCACTATCTCTCATCTGAACAATGTTACCAAGTCCCTTTAAAGGTACTTGGCTTACTGTACATGTATGTCCCATTTGCAGGCCCAAAAAACGAAAAGGTTAAATTCTAACTGCATTTGAAAGACAATACTAATTTAGAACTTCCCTCGAAACAAAAGGGCTTGAAAATAGCTTTGAATGGAAAAATAATGACTATTACATGTAGTTGTAGAATCGACACACTGTTAATGTTTAAATTTCACAGATCTATAGGACATACATGACATATTCATAATTCCTGCAAAGTTCTACAGAATTTGATGTTGGCTGCAAGGGGATATATTTTTAAGCAGAGATCGCAATGGTGCTTGACCATACAAAATTTTACATTACAAATTAACACACTGACATGACATGCTTTACAGGGGAAAAAAATACTAACAATTTCGAGGGCTACTTTTCAAGCTTGCTTGCATGAAAATAACACTCTTTAATTTGTTTTGCATTGAACTCTATGCCAATTTTTTTGGCTCTTTTATGACTTTCAGGGGCTCTTTTTAGCATTTCGGGGGGGGGGGGGGGGGGGGGGGGGCTAATTCGCCCCGAGTCCCCGTGTATTTTTTCAATGACGCACACAAAATGTAAGCATACTGTGAATGTAAGTAACACATTCAACAGAAATTGTCAAATATATAATTTTTCTAATGACCTACATGTATATATCTGTGTTTGTACCAGGCTTGTGGATTCAGTGAGCTGTATGCGTGGCAGAGGGACAGTCTGAGAGAGAAGAATTTTACCTTACACGATGGTCCACCTTACGCTAATGGAGATGTGCATGTTGGTCATGCTTTAAATAAGGTAAGCATTTTTAGGGACCATCCTATACTTTATGCAATATGAATGTTGGTTGTGCTGTGAATTAGGCTAACAATGTTCCTGGATGGGACTGCCATGGTCTACCCATTCTTCTTCTTCTTCCTTTTGAGTACAGACCTCTTTACAGATTATTATCGTACTATACTGGGGGTGTGTGCAGGTGGACCACTACACCGGGGTTTCCCCCCTACTCTTATACAAATAGTGCAGTGGGTTCTTAACGTGCAAAGGTAGTGACTTTTCTCTACACAGGGCCTCCATTTAACGTCCTATCCGAGGGATGGAGTGTTTTCCACTTGACATAACCTGCGTCTATGAACAAGGGAAGGGGCATGGTAACACACAACGCAGGCTTCAATCATCCGCCTGGGTGGGAGTCGAACCCGGGATCTTTGGTTCGACAGACGGACACTTTACCGACTGAGCCAACTCGCCTCCTCATTGAACTCAAAGATTTCACTAAATATTTTATTTTTGATCAGATTCTGAAAGATATCAACCGTTACAAGTTGATGAGAGGATACAAGGTTTACTATGTTCCTGGATGGGACTGCCATGGACTTCCCATTGAACTCAAAGATCTCACTGAATGTTTTATTTTGATTAGATTCTGAAAGATATCATCAACCGTTACAAGTTGATGAGAGGATGCAAGGTTCATTATGGTCTTCCTATTGAACTCAAAGATCTCACTGAATATTTTATTTTTATTAGATTCTGAAAGATATCATCAACCGTTACAAGTTGATGAGAGGATACAAGGTTCACTATGTACCTGGATGGGACTGCCATGGACTTCCCATTGAACTCAAAGCTCTCACAGAGTCCAAGGAAGATTTTAGAAAGCTTTCTGCTTTGCAAATTAGAAATCAAGGTAAGAACTTGTTGTCTCTCTTTAAACAAAAGGTATATGTTTACCAATCACCTAAAAATATAACCTATGAACAGGAAGAACGTTTCAAAGTTTACCTAACATGGGCTGAAGGATAATGAAGGAACGCAAGTCGGCCCTGCGTTCCGCACTCTGCCGTATTCTTTGTGGGGGATTACAGATGCGTTGATTAGTTTACTTGCTAGTCACTCTGTTTGTTGATTGAGAATGTATGTAAACTTGCAATATCTGAACATTTAAAGCTCATATTTGTAATATAGTATAGCAACATTGAATCCTTAATATACAGGACAAATTATTTATTTTAGGTGTTTACTTTAGGGGGAAGTCCAGCCTGATATTAACTTGGTTAGCAAATTGGCAATACTGTGGTGTATCTTGTGAGCTCTTCTACAATTTGCTCTTTACAGAAAATTTCAAAAACTTTCATTTTTTGGTTAATAATGACGTAACAGATTCTTTTTTTACAGGGGTAGTATAAAAAATTAAAAATACTGCATGGCATACTCTTTATTTCTATTCAGCTAGAAAATTTGCATTGAAAGCGATTGAGAGCCAGATGACTGCATTCAAGAGATGGGGGATCATGGCAGACTGGTAAGTCACTTTAAATCCCCTCACAACACCAGGAAGGCTTTTCACAAAACTTGTCATCAGTGACAAATGACAATTTGTGTTATAAGCTACTGAAATCCTTGCTTCTGATTGGTTATCTGCAGATTTGTCACTGATTTTTGTAATTTGTCATTGAATAAAGGCTTTGTGAAACGGGTCCCTGATTTATTCAGATTTAAATATTCTTGGGTTTCGTTGATATTTCTCTCCTGCAGAACACTTAACCACACATCAGTGCAATGCATTGGGGTTAAGGTTATGGTTAGGGGTAGTGTTAGGTTGAAGGTTTGGATTAGGGTCAAGGTTGGGGTTAGGATTAGGGTTGGGGTATCTGGGGGGGGGGGGGGGGGACATGTCCCCCCCCCCTCATGTTTTGTCAGAAAAGAAGAGAGACCACCAGGGAGCAACAATTTTGTATACAAAATCTCACGAATTGGCAAATAGAATAGTGCATCTTACCCTCTTGTTTGGATCCTGAAACTTATTTTAGATGAATAAGATCAAAACTAGATTCCTGATGCATCAGTTATTTGTGCTTGTTCGTCATGATTCAAATTTCAGGTTTACCACAATACATTTCAATAGATTTTTAAGTAAGAAATATACATGTACAACCTTTTTCATAATTTCATATGAACTTTTTCTATGATGAACGTAATGACTATTTCTATGTTTTCTTGTTTTGTGTTTTGACAGGGATAATTGTTACTACACATTCGACAAAGAATATGAAGCGTCACAACTACAACTCTTCCATGACATGTATCAGAAGGTATGATACAATGACTGTGTTCCTACATGTTTACCTGAGTTTTTAAAATAGATTTGACATTTAAAGATACTACATGTATGTTCCTTGTGCAGCCAACATCAAATTCTGTAGAACTTTGCAGAAATTATTAATATGTCATGTATGTTCTATAATCTGTGAAAATTAAACGTTAGCAGTGTCCTAATATTCAAATTATGCAAGGAAACCCGTTTACTTGCTAGATTTCACTGTCAGACACTATTGAGTGACTGACTGGCTTTTTTTTGGGGGGGGGGGGGGAATAACATGCTGTACATAAAATGAGATGTAAAGGGTACATGGTCATTTGTCTACATCAATAACACACTTCTTGTAATGGCCATAATTAAACTGATTGAATCTTTGCACAGCATAAAACGTACGACTATTCGGTACAATGGTCTGAAAATCAGACTATTACTTCTGACTCTATAGCTCTGAGTCGATTCGACATCTAAATAGTCGTTATTTTCCCACTTAAAGACATTTTCAAGCCCCCTTTTTTAGGGAAGTTCTAAATTAGTATTATCTTTCAAATGCCATTGGAATTTAACCTTTTCATTTTTTTGGCCTGCAAATGGGACTTACGTGTAGTACATATCAAGGGGAAGTCCACTCTGATATTAAATTATTTTTAATAGAAGCAGCAGAATGAGAGAAACAGGCCAGTGAAAGTTTGAGCAAAAACCTATTGACAATAAGAAAGTTGATGAGTATTTGATGGTGTGATCAATCAAACACAAATTGGCAAATCTGTGACTTAAATTGCGAGCTCCTCTCCCATTTGCTCTGTACTAAAGGCCAAACAATAAAAAGGTTAAATTATGTAGTACTCGCATGTTAGTTCTGTTATTTGGGGGAGGGGGGGGGGGGGGGGGGAGAGACAGGCATATGAGCTTGATGATGTGTAATTTCTTAATTGAAGTGGAATCCATTTATATTATATTTCTCTTACCATTAGGGTTTCATCTATAGGGACGTAAAACCTGTCAACTGGTCTCCATCATCAAGGTAATATCGTCACATGGTTGTCACATGATTGTCACATGATTTATCAAGGAATTCCACAGTTTGTGTGATGATACACATGTCATCTGCAAAATGAATAACCCGTGTTAGGGGGATTGGCTAGTCATTCACATATATGTGAAAAAGGTTGGGTCCCAGGACACATCCTTGGGGTAACCCATTCTTTTATACAATGTTTACATATATGCAGTTTAAAAAGAATGTATGGGGAAAGTTTGCTTACATTGGTTGTAAATAATGATGGTAGTAGTATGGTAGTTGAACATTCCTAAACAGATCAAGTTTCTGATAGAGTATTTTGTAGAACTTCAAAAGTAGAGGCTGAGAAGGACTACTGGTACATCTAGCGATTGAACCCTGGCTCATATCATTATTAAGAGATTATAAATAACTGATCATTTACTTGGTTTTCATAGAAATCATTCTTGCACGGATGACATGTTAATCATCAACAATGGATTTAGAACCTAGTCCATCTTATTGTGTTGGAGTATACATATATGTTTCACATACAATGTACACATTGTCAATGTAATAATGAAAGTCAGCTAATGTCAGCCTACTGCTCGTTGAAATAGTTGCCAATACTTTGTGATCAATTTCTTTTACAATTAAAACTCCTCTTGAAACTAATCAAGTTTCTGATTTTGTGAATTGGTTTGCAGAACTGCACTAGCTGAGGCTGAATTGGAATACAACCCTCATCATATCTCGCCAGCCATCTATGTCAAGTTTTCCATCCATGCCCCATCAACTCTGCTAGCTGATGCCTTGGGTAAGGCCCCCCCCCCCCCCCAAGATTTTGTATTGCCCTTTAGGTGCCAAAACATGGGTCGGTCGGTCATAATTTTTTTGTTATAACTGTTTTTTTTTTTTTTTAAAGCCGACCATGGATTTCAAGATTTTTGAGTCGGTCGCAAAGGACAACTTTTTTTAAAGGCCAAAAAGTGATCTTGTTTGCTTCCTACTGATAAGTACTACTTTGTACGAAGGGTTTTGTGCTGACAAGAAAAATTGTTGTATCTTACCATGTTCTGCAAAAGTACCTGAATGACTCATATTCCTACATAGTCAATCTAAAACTTTGGCAATTAACGCGTCTTATAAAGTGCACGCTAATATAATTGCTTATAAGCTTATAATGACTTTTTATATGAAAACGATATGCCTCCCATTCAACCTAGTTGTCTTAAGTTTAAGGTAAAAAACTTCAACTGGATACCAAAGTTTGCCAAGTATTTTACCTGGGCCAAAAGCTATGTAAAATACTCATATTTCTGACAAAAGTATTGGATTGAATACAGACCTTGGTAGGATGCAAATGCTAGAATGCTCCATAGAGGAGCGGAGAGTGTGCACTGTAAAGTGCAGAATCATAATTGAATCCAGTGACTGGGGTAAAAATACATTGTAATCATTTTGGTCTTATGATAATTATCATAATAATTTGGTCTTGATAATTTGAGATAGCCACCTCAGCACTAATACTGCTCTTCCCGCGGACCCTGCAGTTATTACCAGCATTGCCAGGTACCCATTTAATACACCATGGTTGAGAGAGACAAATTTGGGTTAACACCTTGCCCAAAAGAGGAATTAAAACACTAAAGCAAAGATCGATTCCTGGACCTCTTGTATGCTCCTATGGGAGTCAAGAGCCTTACCAATATATCACAGTGCTTTCAACGTGTTCTGGGAAGACACTACAGTGTATGTTTGTAGGTTTGTTTGTTTTACCTGACTGCTAAGAAAGCATGTGTATGCTTGTAAGTAAGCAACCAGGGTGACTTTAAGTCCTCTCTAACGGCCTTGGAAATGAGAAGTAATGCCTTACCAAAGGGAACTAGCACATTGAATTGGTTTTTAACCCGGGACATTTAGGTTGGGAGACCACTGCTCTACAACTGAGCCATCGTGCCTTGTGCTTATGTACTTGAAACTAGTGCTTGTAGTAGCATTCTCTTCATTTATTTTGCCATTGTACATGTATATTGAAATGATAATATTCAAATAATACACAGCCGTGAGGGCATTAGTAAGAATTACCCACACAAGGTACCGTTGGAACAGTCTGTTTGGACTGTTTTGAAGGTACCGAGTGTGGGTAATTTACTAATGCCGAACAAAATGCTGTGTATTATTTGTTTTATAAGATTATGTTGTATTTGTTATATAAAATGACGTTTTATAACATGATTTTACTAGTGACCGGTCATAAGACTTGGATAATGACCGGTCATTATCCAAATTACGTGTTAGGCAAAATAAATGCCTGGTCACGTGTACGCTTTGAACCAATTATTTGATCAGGATCCACGTCATCATCTTATAAAGATTATTGTTTGAATTATCTTGCAGGCAATACAGACAATGCAGCTGTTGTTATATGGACTACAACCCCCTGGACTATTCCAGCCAATCAGGCGGTCTGTTACATGGCTGATAAAGACTACTGCTTGTTGGAATGCAAGGGGACTGATGATAGACTGATAATTGCTTCCGATAGAGTAGCAGATCTGAAAGAAGTTTGGGGAAGAGATCTCAGGATTATTACGACTTTCTCAGGTAGATATAAAGAAACTAAAATAAATTCATTTCTAAAAGATCTGGAAATAATATCAGTATTATTTATAAATAGGGCTGACTAATCAAAATCAATAAAAATTCATATTCCTATAACAAATCTATACATAAAAAATACATAATTGCTTTAGATCTTTATATTTTTTAACATCGTGATATAGAATATTGAATCAAGTGTCGCATTGGTTTATAAAAATAAATTTGAGAAAATACAGTGTATGATAACAAAATGTTTTTTTGTTGATTAATATTTGATAAGTTTGTCAATGCTGATTACCTTTTTGATAATAAAGGAGACAGAACGACATAGAAAGAGAGAGAGAGAAAGAGAAGGGGGAGACAAACAGAGAAAGAGAGAGAGAGAGAGAGAGAGAGGTTACTAGAGAAACATTGTAACCCAACATTTTGACATTTTATTTGTATAGTTGGTTTTGAGGATAAAAATGATGCAGTGATTGATTTACGTATCTACCTCTCCTTTTTTCACCTTGTGTACAGGAAGATGCCTTGAAGGGTGTTCCCTGTATCATCCATTGGATCCATGTCATCATGTGCCATTACTTGCTGCTAACCATGTCAAGATGGGGTTGGGTACTGGTCTGATTCACACTGCCCCAGCACATGGTGCAGAAGACTATGGAGTAGCAATACAGCACAACCTCAAAGTGGTACGTAGCTGTTCAAAACTATGAAGCAGTTTACTCTTTTCATCATTGAGCCCTATGCTTTACAAATACTCATGATGAAGATGATGATGATATTGATGATAATGATGATGATGATTGTGATGGTGATGGTGATGATGATGATGATGATGATGACGATGATGTTGATGATGATGATGATGATGATGGTGATGATGATGATGAGGATGAGGATGATGACGACGACGACATCAACGATGATGATGATGTTGATGATGATGAATTATGATAATGATGGTGGTGGTGGTGGTGGTGGTGGTGGTGGTGAAGATGATGATGATGATCTTGATGAAGATGAAACCGATGAAGATGATGGACAATGATGATGATGATGTTGATGATGATGATGGTGATGATTATGACGACATCGACGATAATGATGATAATGTTGATGATGATGATGTTGTTGATGATGTTGATGGTGGTGGTGGTGGTGGTGGTGGTGGTGGTGGTGGTGGTGGTGGTGGTGGTGGTGGTGGTGGTGGTGGTGGTGAGGAGGAGGAGGAGGATGGTGATGATGATGATGGTGATCATGATGAAGATGATGATGACGACAACGACGACATCGATGTTGATGATGATGATGATGATTATTATTATTATTGTGATTATTATCATCAGACATGCCAGGTAGACAGTGAGGGGTTCTATACCGATGATGTAAGGGAGGAACTGAGAGGAAAGAATGTTCTTCTGGATGCAAATCAAACAGGTACGATGGTGCTGTGACGCTGTCACTCAAACACCGAAGCTTAGGTCACTAAAAAGTGCTTCTTCAGATATTGCGCGTTAAAACGAATCTCAGGGTACAATGATTGCTATTGCTTGGGAGGCCTTCTTTTTATACTGAGGGCACAAACGTGCTCCAAAGCTGCCAGGTGTCCACGTTTTATAAACAGCTTTAAAGAAAATTTTCACTGTGTGAACGTAGTTTATACGATGTTCGGACAGATACGAAGTCGCGATTTATATGCGGTTCAAAGCAGGCTGCAGATACGAAGTATGTATTTAGAGAGCTTGGCATTTTGTTTGTGAACGGTTATACGTGTTTAAACTGGATGAAGCGTGCGCTTTTTATGCCTCCGCCACCGAAGGTGGTGCCGGAGGCATCATGTTTTCGGGTTGTCCGTCCGTACGTCCGTCCGTACGTCCGTCCGTACGTCCGTCCGTACGTCCGTCCGTCCGTCCCGTTTGACCGTTATCACAATATCTCAAGAACCATTTAAGATTTAAACTTAAGACTCGGGAATAGTATTTATCACCATAGGAAGACGATCTGATTAGATTTTGGAGTACGTAGGTCAAAGGTCACAGGTCACAGAGGTCAACTTATGAAATTCCTTGTATTGAGTTTGTTAGCGCGATATCTCAAGAACCATTTGAGATTTAAACTTCGAACTTAAGGATAGTATGTATCACCATAGGAAGACGATCTGATTAGATTTTGGAGCACGTATGTTAAAGGTCAAGGGTCACAGAGGTCAACTTATGAAATTCCATACATTGAGATTGTTATCATGATATCTCAAGAACCACAGGAGATTTAAACTTCAAACTTAGTGATAGTGTGTATCACTATAGGAAAACAATCTGATTACATTTTGGAGCACGTAGGTCAAAGGTCAAGGGTCATAGAGGTCAACTTATGAAATTCCATACATTGAGATTGTTATCATGATATCTCAAGAACCACTGGAGATTTAAACTTCAAACTTAGTGATAGTGTGTATCACTATAGGAAAACAATCTGATTAGATTTTGGAGCACGTATGTCAAAGGTCAAGGGTCACAGAGGTCAACTTATGAAATTCCATACATTGAGATTGTTATCATGATATCTCAAGAACCATTTGAGATTTAAACTTCAAACTTAAGGATAGTATGTATCACCATAGGAAGACGATCTGATTAGATTTTGGAGCACGTAGGCCAAAGGTCAAGGGTCACAGAGGTCAACTTATGAAATTCTATACATTGAGATCGTTATTGCGATATCTCAAGAACCACTGGAGAATTTTCACTTCAAACTTAATGATAGTATGTATCACCATATCATAATATCTCAAGAACCACTGGAGATTTAAACTTCAAACTTAATGATAGTGTGTATCACCATAGGAAGACAATCTGATTAGATTTTGGAGCACGTAGTTCAAAGGTCAAGGGTCACAGAGGTCAACTTACGAAATGCCATACATTGAGATTGTTATCATGATATCTCAAGAACCACTGGAGATTTAAACTCCAAACTTGTTTAAATTGCTCTATGGCGGAGGCATCATTTTCGACTGCGCGCAGTCAAAATTCCATCTAGTTTTTATATGACCTGACCTTCAATGCGCAATGGCACTACTGCGCATTTTAAGAGCAGTTAATCACGAAACGATCACACCAAAATTTCTGTGTGTGAATGATGTCGTACGTAAAGCTGATTAGTTTAATGCTCTTTAAACTAATCGGCTTTAAAGAATTTTTCTCGTTTGTGAAGAAGCTGAGGGTCCAGATACTGAAAAAAAGGGAAATTGAATTGTATTGAGGGCCTGATGTATATCATTTACTGTCTACAAACTGGTATGTTGCAAAGATCTATGCAATGATATTTACTGCTGATGTTATGTTTTGTTTTGTTTTGTACAGTAATCGACATGCTGGCATCATCCAAGAATCTACTTCATCAGGAGGACTATGAACATAGCTACCCATATGACTGGAGAACCAAGAAACCTATCATCATCAGGGCTAGTAAACAGTGGTTTATCAATACTGCTAGTCTTCGAGATACAGCCTCGGTAAGTCTAATAGTCAAATGGTTTATCAATAATGCTAGTCTTAGAGACACGGCCTCAGTAAGTCTAGTAGACAATGGTGCACCATTTTCCATTTGTGCTATGTTTTATACTTTCATATTTTCTTTATATTTTGAATGTTATTACAGTATGTCAATTTAGATGTCATTTGGATATATATATGTTATGATAAAGCTTTCTTCTGAATAGTTACTAGGCTATTGCATTCCCCAATCAACTATAATTTTTAGTGTGACTTTATGCAACTTTGATTGTTTCGTTTTATCAACATGTATCTATTTATCAATGTTTTCTGTTTAAAACTGATTTTTGTATTACTGAATCAGTTATTGTTATTGTTTTTTTTTCCTCATAAAATACTAAGTCATAATAATTACTTTTACACATGGGCCTACACCCTACAAGCTCTGCTTTTTAGTGGGCCCTCCTTTTCCTTTCAATTTCATGTTTATTTTTTAATGTATTGTATTGTGCAAATTGATCTATATGTATAATATATGAATATGTGAATATGTTAAAATGTACCATCAATGTAAATATGAACAATTGAAAGAGGAAATTACATCTTTTGTCTTTATAAATATTTTCATGATGATTGAAATAAATGTCAATTCAATTCATGTGACTGCTGTTTGTTTTAGGAGTGTCTAGATGAGATCGATATGAGACCGGTGTATGGAAGAGCTACAATGAGAACTCAGCTGGCAGCTAGGACCTTTTGGTGTATATCACGGCAAAGAGTCTGGGGCGTACCAATCCCTGTCGTCTATAACAAACATACCGATGAGCCTATACTTACCAAGTAAGTTGAAGGATAGTTGTTCAGTGAGCTGGTTTTAAGAATAGTTCAAGTAATATATCTGCAGATCGCTTTAATGGAGATAGGCTTTCGGGTGCACAATGTGAGAGAGAGAGAGGATTGAGGAGTCCTGAAAAGGACTCTCTGTAATCTTTCTTGAGGGTGTGTAGTCCTGAAGAGGACTGTTGGTGTAGTCTTGAAAATAACTGTTGGTTATCTTTCTTAGCTTATAGTTCTAAGGAGCACTATATCGCTTGGAGAGGATGAGTGGCGGGAGTGGCTTGACGTTTCGAACAGGTTGACTATCCGTCGTCAGGAGTACACACCCTTTTCAGGACTACACACCCTCAAGAAAGATTACCGAGAGTCCTTATCAGGACTCCTCAATCCTCTCTCTCTCTCTCACATGGTGCACCCGCAAGCCTACTGTATAATAGAGATATTGTCGATGAATTCCAGCCATCTAAACAAACATTATGGCTTGTCCTATCTTACAACATGTAATGTATGCAATTAATATCCTGTCTATTGAAATACAATTATTCGTAACAGATGAATGAAATAATTGTAATGAGGCAATCAAAGATTTGAGCATTAAATTTGATTACATTACGAAAGTGGCCTACGGTATATACCGGAGCTCTTATGTAGCTTTTCAGAAAATAGATATAATGATGTTGTTAAAGTGCTATATGTTTATTTTCTCTATACTCGTTTTATGTTGTATGTATCATGTCACATTTATATCTTATTTATTTTTTCTCTGTGAATAATGCATGTAAAAGCAACAAATTTCCTTTTGGACCAATAAAATTTGAATTTAATTTAATTTAATTTATGTAAATAGCTCACGGTTCCCATGGATTTTTGTCACCGATGTGACTTTTTCGTTTGTTGTTACCTAGGGAACTAGTAGATCATGTGACTGATCTGGTGATGCATCATGGGAGTGATTGCTGGTGGAAGCTGAGCAAAGATAAAATTGTTCCTCAGAATATTTTAAATCAGGTATGCTATTTATTTTCATTCTTTTACTGATCTTCCGATTTGACCACTTGACTTCGTACCACGTACATACATGTATACGTGCTTTAATAGGGCATTTAACTTTCAAGACCATAGCACTGCATGATGCCTAGCCCTAACTGTGTAATTAGCACTGCAATGATGTCTTGAACAGTAGATAGGGCTCTTTCAACAAAAATCCGTCCATTTTGTGTACAGCGTACAGTTTTTGTACCGTTTTTGTACAGTACAAAAATGCTGTTGCACAGGGGGTATGAACGCGTTGTAAGCCAATAGCAGACAAGTGGTTAAACTCACAACACTACATAAATAATCACATGTGGACGTGCAGGTGTCGTGGTGTAGCGGTTCATTCATTTGATTGTCAATCCTGGGTAATAGGTGGATTCCAGGTATTTCCTTTTGAAATTGCCAACCCTGGGTAATAGGCAAGTTTAATATACACATGTACTGTACATTTTATCTCCTCATTCAGTCAAAGTATATTAACTCTTTGTTTGCTTTGTTCGCCGATTTGCACGGACGTAGGCGTGCCAACTTCGCATTTTTGCACAGATGTATACGAGTCAATTAGACATTCATAATACCGCTCGCAGTGTGTAGCCACGCGTTGCGTTTACTATTGTTTACATTGTATACATCGCACACTTTCCGGTAAACTGTTTTTCTTCATAGTGTTACATTCGAAATTACCGTGTATTTAGCGGTTTTCTTTGGATTTTTTTACTGATGTTACGATGGCACCTGCTGGAAAACGTCAACGTGTGTTTAGTGTAGAGGAGGCTCGAGATCTTGTTACTATGGAAGCATGGAGCATGGACTCTGATTCCGACGAATCGAGCAGTGACGAAGACTCTAGTGATAAAAGTGTTCCCTGAGAGTAGACTGATAGAATAAGAATGAATAAAAATTAATGAAAGAGCTAGAGATGACAGCAAGAAAGAGAGTAGACTGATAGAATAAGAATGAATAAAAAAAATGAAAGAAGGAGATAGAGATGACAGCAAGAAAGAGAGTAGACAGTGATAGAATAAGAATGAATAAAAATAATGAAAGAAAGAGATAGAGATGACAGCAAGAAAGAGAGTAGACTGATAGAATAAGAATGAATAAAAATTAATGAAAGAGCTAGAGATGACAGCAAGAAAGAGAGTAGACAGTGATAGAATAAGAATGAATAAAACTAATGAAAGAAAGATGTATCCTGTCTTGCCGTCATCTTTATATCTTTCTTTTATTATCTTTATTCATTCTTATGCTATCAGTGTTTACTCTCTTTCTTTCCGTCATCTCTATCTTATTATTATTATCATTTTCCTATCTATATGTACCCTATGTCTTGCCGTCATCTGTATATCTTTTTCTTATTATCTTTATTCATTATTATGCTATGAGTGTAATACTCTCTTTCTTGCCGTCATCTCTATCTCATTATTATTATCATTTTCCTATCTATATGTACCCTATGTCTTGCCGTCATCTCTATATCTTTCTCTTATTATCATTATTCATTCTTATGCTATCAGTGTTTACTCTCTTTCTTTCCGTCATCTCTATCTTATTATTATTATCATTTTCCTATCTATAATTATGTACCCTATGTCTTGCCGTCATCTCTATATCTTTCTCTTATTATCTTTATTCATTCTTATGCTATCAGTGTTTACTCTCTTTCTTGCCGTCATCTCTATCTTATTATTATTATCATTTTCCTATCTATATGTACCCTATGTCTTGCCGTCATCTGTATATCTTTCTCTTATTATCTTTATTCATTCTTATGCTATCAGTGTTTACTCTCTTTCTTGCCGTCATCTCTATCTTATTATTATTATTATTTTCCTATCAATATGTATCCTATGTCTTGCCGTCATCTCTATATATTTCTCTTATTATCTTTATTCATTCTTGTGCTATCAGTGTTTACTCTCTTTCTTTCCGTCATCTCTATCTTTTTATTATTATCATTTTCCTATCTATATGTACCCTATGTCTTGCCGTCATCTCTATATCTTTCTCTTATTATCTTTATTCATTCTTATGCTATCAGTGTTTACTCTCTTTCTTTCCGTCATCTCTATCTTATTATTATTATCATTTTCCTATCTATATGTACCCTATGTCTTGCCGTCATCTCTATATCTTTCTCTTATTATCTTTATTCATTCTTATGCTATCAGTGTTTACTCTCTTTCTTTCCGTCATCTCTATCTCATTATTATTGTTATTTTCGTATCAATATGTATCCTGTCTTGCCGTCATCTTTATCTCTTTCTCTTATAATCTTTATTCACAGTAAAGTCCTTTCATTTCATATCACTATTTCTCTCTCATAATGTCTCTCACGTCCGTTCTCCATATTTTATTCATTGCATACTCCACTCGTCAATCATTTCTGATAATAAGCTCTCTCACAATAAAGTAAATGGAAAACAATGCAATATAGTTTATATTTTAAGATTGATTCATTCTTTCTTTGTATATCTATGGCTGTGATAAATGTACTTGAAATCAATTTTATTGAGGGGTAAAGAAGGTGAGAGAACAGATGCGGTGAACATTCATAATGAGACATTTCAATAAGATGCTGATTATGTCATGTATATCACATATAATATATTATGCCTATACCATTTTTACATGCTCATACCAGTGGGCAAAATCAATAACATTCTCTTATTTCTTATTGACTTATCATGGCACAACAAAGAAAAACATCCCCACGACGTCCCTTTTCATGCCCCGCTAAACCGGACATTGACAATAACCTGGGGTAATAGGGATTTCAATGGGCAGATTAGCCCATTGTCAAGGGTGGCTGAGCGGGGTACTTTCAAGTCTCTCCCTATTGAACTTCTTTTCTTCAACAACCTAAATACTAACCTTCTGAATTGTTAGAATACTTGAGCAAGGTATGTAAAGAAAGGTAAGAAGTCCACCTTTCTAATAGATTCGATTTGAAGATGTCTTATCATTGCTAAATAAGAAATTCTAGAGGGATAAAAAACTGCCGTAAATAAGAAAAATTAAACATTATATAATTATGATTATTATAAAAATGATAATTCAAAATATAACAAATGACGGTTCATCGAAAAGCACGTTTTCCGGTCTACAACTTTGCTGCACAATATTTTTCATCATGATCATCCAGTGAAGAGTTATAGCCTCTTGATTCAGCAGAGTCAATAAAGATTCCCTCGAAATGTGTGACCCTAAAAGAATGTGGCACAGGGGGGTTTTTTAAGTGGCGCATAAAGAGTTAATATTAGTCAAATTTTATGCAAGGTAGTTGATAATCTTGATGACCTTGCTTTAAAGTGACTCAGTATCTTCGCCTCAGATTCTGAAACAAAATCCTGGATTCAGCTCATAATTATAAAGCTTTAGGTCAGTCAGGAATCCCATGACTTTTACAAGCCTGTCTGATTATGAAGATATTTATGATTGGAAATCGAAATAAAATTTTGCTTTTTCCTAATGGTTTTTATAATACTACAGACTATTGGGGGAAAATGAGTATGGTAAAACTGGTCACTCAAAGATTTTTGCTTTGTTGAGGCACTTCATGATTATTTTGAAGCGCAATTTTTTTAGGGCTTCAATATGACACCATATCACAGACACTGATATTACGTAAGGCCATGCATCTCAGATTTACAACATTGTTAAACGATGCCTTTAAGTGAAGAATTTTGTAAGTCTTTCTTTAATTCACTCTGCTGTGGTTTTGTGTTTCTTTTTCTCCAGTTTGATCTCTGTCTAGATGACGTAGTGTTGGGTGAAGACATCTTGGATATTTGGTTTGATAGTGGTACTTCATGGTCTCATGTTTTAAAAGGTAAGAATGTGTCACTAAATGCAAATAAAATGGTTATCCTTTTTGAAAGACAATTTGAACATTGGTTTCCCCCCTTGAATAAGAGCAGAGCTACCATAAAGCGTGACAGTCACGCATCAAGGGTCTGAAAACGCTGTCACGCATGGCAACCATTTTTGTCATGCATCAGGGCCAGAGTGGAAAGAAAAAAAAAAGTAGTAATTGCTAGACTACGTACTAGCCGATATTGACTATTACAGGCTCACCTGTTGTGTCCTCTCTGCCATCCTCTTTGTTCTCTACACTAATGACTGCCGTTACCTCTCACAAAATGTTTCTATTCTTAAATATGCCGATGGCACTGTTATTGTAGGTCTAATTAAAGATGCTCAGACTTTACTCTTACAGAGATGCCAAGTTCAATGATCAGCTATGCATGACATTTTCATGACTCGGGATTAGCGTATAATGTACGTTTCGAAAAGAATAATGCGTAAAAGGTTCATAAGGTTCATAAGGTTCATATTTATTGTCCATTTAACAACTTGATAACAGGATAGAGTTCCCCTTTAAGCCAGTAATGATTGAGTGTAGATAGATGTAACCTTTTTAGACCTCCATCCACATAGTCCTTCACGGAAAGCTAGTTTTGCTATGTTTTTTTGTGTGTAATATAGATGCAGGCCATCAGGCTGATGTTTATATCGAGGGTGAGGATCAATATGGAGCATGGTTCCAGACCAGTTTACTCACCAGCGTAGCTGCACAAGGCACTGCTCCTTATAGGTGAGAAATATTTTCAGTCTTCAAAGACTCTATATGTACTATACTGATGTGTCTCTCACAGAAAGCCTATAAAAGTAATGTTCATTAAAGACTAAACAACTTGAAACTTGAATTTTAAGAATTGGCAAGATCGGCAAAAATTCCATGCTGGGATTGAAAAAGAATGTTGAATTTCTCTAATTTTGCAGCAGTTTCTTGTTTCAGAATGGCACTTTGAATGTGCATGATTGCTTTAATAGCTCCATTTGACCTTGAACCTGAAACCCTGTCAAAACATGTTGCTATTCATCAATATTATATAAATATATATGTAGCGATACGTAGTGCATTGCCTAACTCTTATGATCCATGTAGCGATCAGTAGTGCATTGCCTAACTCTTATGATCCATGTAGCGATCAGTAGTACATTGCCTAACTCTTATGATCCATGTAGCGATCAGTAGTACATTGCCTAACTCTTATGATCCATGTAGCGATCAGTAGTACATTGCCTAACTCTTATGATCCATGTAGCGATTAGTAGTACATTGCCTAACTCTTATGATCCATGTAGCGATCAGTAGTACATTGCCTAACTCTTATGATCCATGTAGCGATCAGTAGTGCATTGCCTAACTCTTATGATCCATGTAGCGATCAGTAGTACATTGCCTAACTCTTATGATCCATGTAGCGATCAGTAGTACATTGCCTAACTCTTATGATCCATGTAGCGATCAGTAGTGCATTGCCTAACTCTTATGATCCATGTAGCGATCAGTAGTACATTGCCTAACTCTTATGATCCATGTAGCGATCAGTAGTACATTGCCTAACTCTTATGATCCATGTAGCGATCAGTAGTACATTGCCTAACTCTTATGAACAGCTGATTCTTTATACACCCATCTTTATTTCATCAAGGTCTGTTTTGGTGCATGGGTTTGCGTTAGATGCAGAAGGACGTAAGATGTCAAAATCCCTCGGGAACGTTGTTAACCCTGATGTCATTGTGGGCGGTGGGAAGGTTAGTCTATACAATACATGTTTCCCCCTTCCTCCCTTCCTTTGATGTGATTTGAATTTATTCAGACAAAATTTAATATCATACTCATACAGAGTAGAAAAACTGCATCACTTAGTTTCTTCTCCGGTTATTTCTTCTTCTGTCTTTTTCTCCTTTTTCTCCTCTCTTTCTCTCTCTCTCTCTCTCTCTCTGTCTTTCCCTCTCCCTCCCTTCTCCCTAAGTCTCTTTAATGTTTTGTCAATCTTACCCTCCCTTTCCCTTTCTTTCTTTCTCTCTTCCGTCTTTGTATATTTGCTGTTTCTCCTTGTCCATGTATCTCTCCTTACCCTGTATTTTTATAATGTATTAAACATTTTGCTATGATTACAGTGAGAAGGGAAACAGAACATGGAAAAGCAAAGGAAGGGGGGGGGGTTAGACTTACAAAGTGTTAAGAGAGATATAGGGAAGGAAAGGAGAGAGAGAGAGAGAGAGAGAGAGAGAGAGAGAGAGGAAGAGAGAGAAAGAGAGAGAGAAAGAAAGAAAGAAAAAGAATAAAGTAAAAAAGGAAAAAAGGAAGAGAGTTTACTGTGTAAATCATATGATTTAGTACTTCAATATTAAATGTGATAAGGATTCTGCAGTAATACTTCAATGCTCTGATTTTGATTTGACAGAACAAAAAGAAGGAGCCAGCTTACGGAGCAGACGTCCTAAGATGGCGAATGGCTGACTCTGATTGGATGGGTCGTATCAACGTCGGACCTGACCTCTTTGCAATGACCAATCAGAACATCATAAAGCTACGCAATACATTCCGCTACTTCCTAGGAAACCTGTCCGACTTCAAGCCAAGCGAGGGTGCAGTTGAGACGACACCGTTGGATCGATACATGCTTCATCTGCTTCATGAATACAGTGATCACGTGACGAGAGCGTATGAGGATTATGAATTCAGTGAAGTGACAAGAAGCGCTATGGATCTGGTTCATAACAAGATTTCGTCTTTTTATCTAGAGACAGTGAAGGATAGGTGAGTACTCCACAGAATTACAATGGGTTTTTACAGACGTGTATCAATCAGATATGATTATTTACTTCTGGGGACCGACCTTTAAATGTCACCATCCGAAAGACGCGAGTTTTGAACCTGCGTCCTTGGCTGAATCAGTTTATAACTTCCACTTTTAGCTGGATTACAGGCGCACGCCACAACGCCTGGTTAATCACATTCATCTTGTGTAGCTTGACTCTTAAACCTTGTTCAAATATGCAGTGGTATACTGCAGCGTTTTTTTTCTTCTTCATGATGACTGTAGTATGCTTCATATTTCCTACCTGATAAATCAGAGCTAAGTAAATATGGTCAGGACTTTTGTTGCACGCAGTTGCCTATAAAATTACCTATAATATTGTATGTAACATTTTAAATACTAAATATTAATACTAAAATTAAATGACAGTAGCAAAACTGACCAATTAACTAAAACATATGTTACGATCAACATGTATAGAACATAATAATTTGTAAAGGGGAATAAAAGTTTAGAAATAGAGTATCCCTTATGGGGCTAAATTACATGTACAGCATAAGATGCTATATTCATACCCACAATTTCCAGAGTGTATGCGAGATACATGAGATGTTCTCAAGGGGTGGTATTCTCGAAAGTGGACTAACTTTAGTCCATGGTTTAATCCACCGAATAAGTATGGAATGCCAAGTGTCCATATGAATATAGTTTTTGAATAATTTGATATGTCCCTAAATTACCATGATAACATAAGTATATCATGCATATAGTTATATTGCTGTTTATTAATTATGTTATTACATTTTATTTTAATTTAGTGACAGATTAAATTATTCAAAAACATATTCATATGGTCGGTGGATTAAACCATGGACTAAAGTAAGTCCGCTTTCGAGAATACCACCCAAGGAGTCTGACCTTTATTATGTATCTTTCAGGTTATATTGTGAGAGAGGAGATAGTGAGAAGAGACGTTCATGTCAGACAGTACTCCATCATATGCTGGAGGTCATCTCAAGGTCGTTAGCTCCCATCGTACCACATCTAGCAGAAGAAGTACATCTTCATTACTCCAAACAACAAGAAGGTACCTTAAGTCAGAGTGGGAAGTATCTTCCTAGTATATTAATATTTGTGGAGTTTAAAGATAATACAAAGTTTTGGGAAATTTTGAAAATTGGGTCGATAGGGATTCTTTACAATTTTGATGTATTTGGAAGCCCCTGTAGATGTATTATAAGCACTAGAAAATTTAGCCCCTTAAACACTTCTGCTTTCGAAAAAAATTGAATTTGAAAATTTACCGATGCTCCCAGTAAATTTTGATAAATTTCAAATAGCGCCTACGGCCGTACAGTGGTAGCTGCGACCATGAAATTCTCAGAATATGTAGTTGTGATATTTATTTTTCAAACGGGAAAAGCGAATTGGTAGATTTTAGTCAACAAACATTGTTTAATAGCTTAATTAATATCTTGACCGTAAGAGGGAGCTATACAACATAAAGAGTTAATTATTTACAATTTCATAACTTTAGTCTTGTCATTTGATTCGAATTCATGACCCTATACCAAAACTTTGTATTACCTTTAAATAGGGAAGTCCACCTTGATATTAAATTGGCTGTAATAGTAGCAGAAAAATTAGAGGAACGGGTCAGTGAAAGTTTGAGCAAATAAGAAGTTATGATTTTTTAAGTTTGTGATCAATCAAACACAAATTGGCCACTCTGTGATGTATCGAGGTCCCCTCCCATTTTCCCTTAAAAAAACTTGCAGTCGGACATGCTCCCTAAATATAATTATTTCCAATAATACTTGTCTATACAACCCCTGTATGACAAAACCACTATTCCGTCCTCATTAACTGCAAAAATAAAAAAGCTTTTGATATTTGATGAACAGAGCAAATTGGTGACGACCTTGCAAGATACATCATAGTGTTGCCAATTTGTGTTTGATCAAAACGATGGAAAAAAGACAGTCATCTGAAATTCCCACAAAGCAACCCTTCTATCAAATTGCTGCTCATTGTTTTGTGCAAAATTGCATGTGAGACTGACTGATTAGGGAATAAGCAGAGCTGCCAACTATTCTGTTTTTACCGGAATTACTCTGTTTTTTCCTCCAAATTACGGTAGTACGTTTTTTCTTCATAAAATACTTTTTTTTAAAAATTATTATTATTATTATTATTTTTTTTTTTTTAACATACCGCACATCAAACAACTGCCCTAAAATGTTAATCTAATCACCTAAAATGTTGATTTAATCACAAATTCAATAAAAAACTAGAAATTTAATTCGTCATGGGGACGAATTAGGTGGTCTGTCTTTAATTTTTGTGATCATTGAAAATTCAAAAAGAAAACAAATTGAAGAAAAAAAAATTGTTGGAGACGCCTGGACTCGAACCAGGGTTCTCGAGGGCCGAAGTCAAATGCATTACCGATATACCAAAACATTTCCCATAGCGATTACACGTTAACGGAAAATGTAATCCTCAAATCCCACATTCCAAGTGAAATATGAGCATGATCCCGGCATCTGATCGAAAAATAAAGGGCACACTTGTGATAGCTTATTGTCTCAGCTACAACATACTCAAAGCTCAGCGTAAACAAAGATAAAACGACGGAGATATTGCTTGCGAAAGACGAGAATGTAGAATCCAGTTTTGAGAAAAAGTCACGTCCCGTAGAGAATACACGCAAAATGTGAAAAATTGACATGCCTCCTTTAATCGCAAAAATACGCCATGATATTATTGTAAAAATGAATTATTGTTGTGACTGCATTTGTAGAGAATATTCTAAGGTAGAACATATCAAAATTTGAAAGAAAATTGATTAATATTTACAGAGATACAATCAATTTTCCAAAAATCTGCTGACGTCATAATATGCAAATTGATATTTTGAGTTCGGAGGCCATTATGATGACGTCATGAGTTAATTGAGGGTCAAATGACACATGAAATCATATCTCCAACTCATGCTATTTACAACCATGATATAAAAGTTGGGGTAAATTGACTATCTGAAGAGCTATTTTGATTTTTAAAATGGGATGTTTTTGATCAAATTTGCATTATATTGCCCATAGCAGCACGCGCGGATTTTGAACTTTGACGCGCGCTCACGGCCTTATAAAAGGTCAAGAGTGACTGAAATTAATGTAAATTGTCATTTACGGTAAGAGGAATCTAAATCATGTGAGCGCGCGCAACGCGCGCGTTGACACGTACGGACGGAAAATTTTGAAATGTTTAAAATGACCTGATTCGTACTCTCCTTTAATAGTTAAGTGATTTTGAGCATTTTAAAATTTTGACGCACACGTACGCGCGCGTCATGACCTTTATGTGACCTTTGATGACATGACCTTTTGACCCTTGACCTAAAATATATGTGATTTGAATATGAATGACCTTTGCTTATGCATCATGAAGATATGATGGATAACGTGATTTCACAAAATGGCGCCTGGATGACGTCACAATAACCTATTGACCTTGAAAATGTTCCTGTCACGTCTCATGACAATGACCTATAATTGTGCCGAAATTTAATGAAAATAATTTAACCAAACTTGAGTTATCCGGACCACAAAAATCGGGAAGAAATAAAAATAAATAATAATAATAATAATAATAATAAATAAATAAAGAAAGAAAATTCTGACGAAAACAATAGGTGATCTGTCGAAAACGACAGACCACCTAATTAAGTTTAAAACATACACCACTGTACTTGAAGAGAAAAATACGTGCTCATGCAAGTGATTTAATCATTATTCATTTATGCACAAGCAGTGCACTCCATGATACACAGGTGGAAGTATGCTTTGAAAAGGGAAAACAATGGCAATTTATGTAGCACCTCCATTGCTGTAGGAGTGATTATTTCAGAATGTACGTAGTGGGACCTCTTCATGTTTTGAAGATCTGTGGATATTCGGGGTCATTTGGGACATGTGCTAACCATGAACAGGGACCCGTTTCACAAAGCCTTTTTCAATGACAAATGACAAAAATCAGTGACAAATCTGTTGATAACCAATCAGAAGCAAGGATTTCAATAGCTTATATCAAAAACTGTCATTTGCCATTGATGACAAGTTTTGTGAAACGTCCCCCTTGTCTATTGAACCACAAACCTTATGATCCTCAGTCCGGTGCTGTTTCCACTAGACCTCAACACCTCTATTTTGATTTATACTTTAAGAGCATGAACTGGTCTATTGAACCACACACCATATTCTCAGTCCGGTGCTGTTTCCACTAGACCACAACACCTCGATTTTGATTTATACTTTAGGAAGTGTGTTCAAATCCGGCTGGACGACCCCTGACCCTGAGTGGTATCAACCTCATCTAGCGAACCAATGGGACGCCCTCACAGTCCTACGAGAGACATTCCACAGTGCCATTCAGGCTCCCAAGAGCAGGGAGTATGATGTCTCAATCTACACACAGGATGCCCAAGTGCTACATCTTCTCCAGGTAAAAGATTCCTGAATATCATTCCTCTTTCACCCCATTTATGACATGAATTTAAAAAAATGTTGACAAAACCTGACATAAATATAGTCAATATTGACTGAGAAAAGCGAATTGATTTACTGATGAGCTATGTTAAGTTACCGGTAGTCATTTTTAGTAGTTATGAGACTTGTATATTTCTCTTTGTTGATTCCTTTTATGTGATTAAATTTCTCGAAATTCATGCTTTTACAGCGCATAAAGAAACATTAGTTTATTATGCGCTTGATAAACATTGTATTATTAGTATTATCATTAATAGTTCTCTCTATAAAGGGACCTTGTAATTTGATGGCAACCTTTTCAAAGGCACTAGCTCATTGACTTGACTTTGAATGCAGAACTTCCCAGTTAGAAGACAATTACTTTACCCCTTACTCAACATACCTGTTCTGTAATATTGAATTCCTCAACAAAATAATAACTTTTAGACACATTAGATTATATAATATAATCATGGCAGTAAACATTGGCAGCGTTTGTGTTCAAGAGTAGACATAACATTGTCAGAGGTTTAAGTGTAGATTCCGCTGTATTGATCTTTGATAGCTTTTTGTTATATCTACAAAAAAAAATTTAATACAGATAAATCAATCGATCTCATTCACTCCCAAGAAGCGTTACATTTATAAAAACTTATTATTGTCTTATGGGGGACTAGTGAATATTAATAAGTCAGAATGAATCAGGAGAGCTTGGGTATTTGTTTCTAGTTCATCGTGATTGTGCGATGGACCAGTGATGGCCTGGTGGTAGAGTTGCTGCCCGGCAAGCAGTAGATGGCAGGTTCAAGTCCCGCTGGTCCAAGATTTTTTTCTGACTTGTTTTTCAACACAGATAGATCAATCTTATTTACTGAGTGTAAGCCACAAATATGTTTGAATAATTGAATTTTCTTCCAGGAAGCATTACATTTATAAAAGTTAATATTTTTTTCTTCTACAAATCAACAGTTACTTCAAGAAGAAAAGACCAGCTGCGAATCAGATCTGTCTGAGTTTCTGATGTCATCCTTCACAACGGTTGCAATGGGAACCCCTCCATTAGATATTCCAGATGGATGCAAGTTGGTATCTACAGAGCTTCCTATACCAGGTATAAACATCCAATATGAACAATTTGTGTTCTTTGGAATTCATGTTAGACATTTTGGCAGGAGATGGGAAGATTTGAATAACAGAAGAATTTGAAGAAAGGAGTGGGGGGGGGGGGGGGGAAGTCTCCATATGAAAAGTATTATACAACTACAAACATTTACATATACGTGGACCATTGTAAAATGTCTCCATTGGTGTTTTATTCATGGTAAAGTCGAATGCTAAATACAGTCCTTTTGGAGAGAGTCATCTTAGAAGTTTTTTTTTTTTTGGGGGGGGGGGGGGTGGGGGGCAGGAGAGGGGAAGAGAAAAGGGAAAGGGGAGGGTGGGGTTTCCTAGGAATAGTATCATACAACTAATTGGTCCAGCTGCACATTATCGTCATCATTTTTGGGTTCCAAATAATTATAATAATAGTGTGTTCTTGTATAGCGTGCATGTCTGTCACATTTGACACTCCCCAAGAAATAGCCTGGCTTTAGCATGGCTGCCATGATAGCGCTCTAGCATTTCAAGGAATTATTTCTTGCCAGGTACCTATTTGCTAAAGAACGTTAGTGCCCAGGTGGGACTTGAACCCCAAACCATATGATCCACAGTCTGATGATGTATCAACGAGACCACAACACCTCTACAAATGATAAATGATGATAATGATAAATGATGATAATCATGATAATAATGACAGAACAAAAGAAGTTCACTTGTTTCTTATTTACCCACTGGTTCCAAATAGTGATATTAATAATTACAGCTCGGTGGGGATCTGTTCTTGCTGGGGAGGTGTCATGTTATAGTGGTTTATTCTCTTGACTCTCAATCCAAGTATTGAAGGTTCAAATCCCACCCTGGCACGTTGGCAAAACATTATCCACATTTGCCACTCTTATAATAATGATAATAATATATTCATTTGTAAAGCGCAATAACTTTGTGAATATATTCTACTGCGCTGCAAGAGCTCTTCACCCAGGTGTAAATGGAATGCTTGCCATTCATGGGGAAATAATTACAGGAAGAACAGCATTGGTGCTGATGAGGCTTCCCTGGGTAAAAAGGGTTATTTTGTATTATTATATTCCATGGGCCTGAAAAGATTTTCCTGCTAAATCTTCAGATTTATAAAAATCTCAACTACAGAATCAATTGCATTCCACTTCCTCCTGTTTGAGCTCTAGATCAAATGTAATAATAAATTCCAGCCCAATAAGCATTGAATTTTTTTCTCACCTTATTTATTACATTAGAAATAGCAAATCAGGTGAAGTGTTCAATTACAATCAGAAAACATCTGTTTGAGCTGGCCTATCGATAATTGTTCTCTTTCTCTTTGCTGTTGTTGTGTGCAAGTGTTTTATGTGATTCTTTTTTTACCACTAGTGTGTCTTGAAAAATTGATTTCAAATAGATTTGGCACCTGACAAGTCTCATATGTTATTATTGATTTTATTATTATACAGATGATATGAGTATTTTGATTTCAAATGGATTTGGCACCTGACAAGTCTTATATGTTATTATTGATTTTATTATTATACAGATGATATGACCAAGCTAATGACGTGTAGTCTCGTCATCCAGCCTGCTACCCATTTTCGTTGCAATCGATGCAGGAAGCACACTGCCATGGAAGCTAACAGACTCTGTGTACGCTGTACCTCATCTCTTACTCAAGGCTGGGAATGAGTCTAATGACGTGTAGTCTCTTCATCAGCCTGCTACCCATTTTCGTTGCAATCGATGCAGGAAGCACACTGCCATGGAAGCTAACAGACTCTGTGTACGCTGTACTGCATCTCTTACTCACGGCTGGGAATGAGGCTAATAATGTGTAGTCTCCTCACCCAGCCTGCTACGCATTTTCGTGGTGTTTTAGAGGTGTCATGGACGAGTGGATATGTCACCGAACTGAGGATCACAAGGTCCGCAGTTCAAGTCCCACCACAGCACTAATGTCCTTTGGCAAGACATTGATCTACATTTGCCACTCTCCACCCAGGTGTTAAATGGGTACCCGGTAGGATGCGAAAGCTAATGTGGTTAGATTAGCAAGTGTGTGCTTGTAAACAAAGACGCCTGGCTGGAAGGCTCCCCAGGGAGTGGAGAATGTGCATACATTGTGTGCGGGTAAGCCTGAATCTGATGACCAGGTATAATATTTATATCTGTAAAGTGCTTTGAGAGAGCGTTCGGTCCTGAAAAGCGCTATATAAGAACTAACTACTATTATTATTATTATTGCAGTAGATGAATGAACCTTCAAGCCTCGTTCAAACATCACGGTTTAGGTGCCTCATATGATATTTGAACGAGGCTATAAAATGCAGGTTTCAGGGGTTGTAGTTAAAATTATATCTGCTGCCCTCAAGTGATTTGTAGCAAGTGGGGCCTGATTTTAAGCACTTCTTTGAATGCTTTCAGCAACTGGGGATAGAATGATTGAAGTTAATAGAAGTACTTGTAGGCATCTTAAAGTCTTGTTCTGATTTGTTGGGGCGAACCATGATGCGTGAATGAATGGCAATTACACACATCAAAGTTCCTACTCGTATTCACGAGCTCTGTGCAATAAGATACGGATATATGAAGCATTTCATTACAAAAACAAAAAGATTGCATTAGTTTACCTTGGCTTATCATGTATGAGGCTTGGCGTTTAATGGTGCGAACGTTAATGTAGTTTGCTCAGTATTGTGAGTGTCTGTAAAATTGCACCTGGCTGAAATGCTCCCCTGGGAGTGGAGAATGTGTATACATTGTGTGCAGGCATGCCTGAACTGATAACAGGGGTAATGATATATTTATAAAGCACTCATAGACATTGTTGATGTATTAAGCGCTATAAAAATGTGGAATATTATTAATAATATTAATATTTATACTTGTTCTTATTATTGTTATTTTTATAAATTTTGATAAAGATTCAAACAGCTTATTGTAAAACAAAGTTTGTATTTCATTGAACACAATAATAAGTTTTGCTTATCTCACAAAGTTTTGCCTCATACAAAGCTTTATATTTGTAATTTGATGGCACACTGTAGCTTAAAGATTACAATCGATCAACAAGAAAACAAAGTTCAAAGTATAGTGACTTGTGTTAGAAACTTTTCTTTATTTGTGTGGAACAGTGAAGAATTCACAGAAATTACCAACATTTGAATTGATCGTAATATTTATGTTACAATATAATATCATTCATAATCTCAAAATGTACAGAACACTCATGCAAGACACTTGGATTGATATATGTATATACATCATTAAAACATCATGAAATGCATGTAGAATCACCATATTCACAGGAGAGATGCTTTTCATCGTACATATCACTGGCCATCATTTGTAAAGATTAATTTCTACCTCCAGTGCATCATAATAAGAATTTCTACTGAATTGCTAGCTAATATGTACATACATCAACTGTACTTAATAAAGGCTTGTTCAGATATGGCATGTTAAACCACTGCAAAAAAGCCGCCTTGTTTTTTTTAATGTGTAAAACAATGGCAACTGTATGCAACAAAGGACTTGTGCGTACTCACTGAGCTCTGTGTTGTAAGATACAGACTTGTGAAGCGTAGTTAATACATCATCATGAACAGAACGCCAAAACACGCCATGGTTTTGCTGTGTCATATCTGAACGAGCCTTGATAATCAACAAAACACATAGTTTATGTGCTAAAATATGCCCAACAATGTGTCCATTTTCAATGTATACATGCCTTGTTCAGACCTGCCAACCAGTACGATTTAATCCTATTTCGTAAGATTTTTAGAAGCAATTACGACAGTACGATTTTCCTCAATAAAATATGATTTTCACCTAAAAAAAGGAGAAAAAAAGTATTCTACAAGCATCTCACATCGGCAATTTAGAGATGTTCATTGGTTCATTGAACACACCAGTCGTGACGAAATCATGCATATTCAACCAATGATCCATGAAAAAAATTCTTCCTGTATGTAAGAACTGTAAGAGGCATTGATCCGCGTAACAGTCCGTGTTTTTTTTAAAGAATACAACTTTTGGGATTAAAGAATACAGTTTTTGAACTCCAGAGGTTGGCAGGTCTGCATATTTTGTATCAAGCACAGACATTACAGGTAGTTAGGTTATCCTATGGGCCCTATGGTACTTCGAGGGCCAGATATTCAAAGACTTGCATTGGAAGGTATCATGTTGTCACTTGCCTTTTTTTCCCCTTTAAAATCTTCTATATTGAAAAGTCCAAATTATTGTGTCCCATATGTTAGCTATGTTAGCAATTTACAGTACATTGACGATTGCAGTACATTTCAACATTGTATTGAGTTAATAGCCCTGCTAAAGCTACGATAAAAATGAATTTGAATGGTCTTACACATTTAATGGCAAGTAATGTTCAGACTTCAGAGCACCTTAGGCCGTATTCAGTTCTGTCTGTGGGTTTAAGTAAGTATTTTACTGAGCATTTTACTTTGGATGTGCCTTAAACTCTTGTTCAGATCAGATCTGAACATTTTACTTATTAAGTTAGCTGAACAAAATGATATAATGTGAAGTTTTTATCTATTTACAGATCTATACATTATATAGTTACTAAACAAATCAAAGGCCAAAGTGACTACATGTGTAATGAAAACTTGGAAAGCATATTGTTTTGAATGGAATATGAAACTATTAAAATAAAAAATATAAGAAATAAACATCTATTTTTACAGTTGGTAAAAACAGTGTGTATTATTATTAACCTTATTTATCTTGACCATTATAGATAGGGAGCCTAATCACATTGTTTATTAAACTAGATAAGAGAGAGAGAAAGAAAGGGAGAGTGAGAGAAAGTGAGAGAAAGAGGGGGAGAGAAAGAGAGAGAAAGGACAAAGAGAAAGAGAGAGAGAGAGAGAGAAAGAAAGAGAGAGAGAGGGAGAGAGAGAGAGAGAAAGGAAGAGAGAGAAAGGACAAAGAGGAAAAGAGAGAGAGAGAAAGAGAAAGGAAGAGAGAGAGGGAGAGAAAGGACAGAGAGAGAAAGGACAACAAGAGAGAGATGAGAGAAAGGAAGAGATGGAGATGATATGCAGCATGAGTGAGAGAGGGGCAGAAGATGTGTGCATCTGACGAGAAGGCAACCTGAATTTTATCTAGAAGGCCCGACCCCAAAGGATAGCAAATACCCTTCATATTATGTAACAAATATAGCCTTTCTCTGTTCAATAAATCATGCATGTATATCGAGGGTTCAGTGACACAAGGACGTAACTCCATATTTTGCCAAAATGAGTATTTGATATAAAAATGTTCAGAAAAATGTGGGCTCCCTTTCCAGGAAACTCAAAGACTTAACTCCATCCAACACCCCATTGAAGTCAATGGCTAGTAAAACATAACTTAAGGCCCAAGTGCTCAGTGACACATATACCACTTTTTCTCAAAAATGGCCAAATGACCCAAATGGAGTTACGTCTTTGTGTCACTGACCCCTCGATATTCTCCTCCAAATTCCTAATTGACCTCACCCCATTGTACTTCACTTGCAGCCTCGGTAAAACATTACTTAACTCGGGGAAATTCTGAATTTTCTCGGTTCAGATATTTTGTTACACTGAACGCCGGAGCATGCAATATTTGTATACAAACACATAATAAAAGAGCCGAGAGCATTGCGAATCGAAGGTTCCGTGCTAGTACCTATACATTAGTTAGATAATCAATATACAGTTTTTGACAGATCACAACATTAAGACATTTTACACAATAACTGCATCTTAATGTAGAATTGACTTTGTAAAAATTGCCCCTAAATGGTCTAAATCAACTTATGCAAATGATTTTCTAGATAAGATAATTTTAAAATAACATACACCTGTCACATTCTTGCAACTACACTGTACATATATTATTTATTGCACTTTGTGTAAGTTAAAGGCAGGCTTTACTACTTCAGCCAGAAGGGATAAGACCACCAAGCGAGCCAGCGAGGTCACTGTGACAGGTGGCTATCTCATTAACTCAGCTCTCATTTAACGTAAGAAAAAGAGGATCATGGGGGACCAACAGGCACCGATTTGGGAAGTTTTCTATATAGAGGGAGCAAGTAGCTACAAGTAGGACAGTGTGCCTTTAAAGCTTATCTGCCGTAGTTTACAGGAGGGATTAGACTGCCCTGCAAGGTCACTGGACAGGTGGTTATCTCATCAACTCAGCTCTCAGTTAACATAGGAAAAAGAGGATTATGGGGGACCATGCAATGGTCACCGATTAGGCATTGTTTAATTGTTATATAGAGGGCGCAAGTAGTGCAGTGGGCCTTTAAAGCTAATCTTGTGCCCTGGTATGAGAATCGTATTTTGAGTGAAAACTGCTCTGATTTATTCTGGATTGTTTATCCTACAGTAGATTGGTTGTTTGAACCCGTGAAATAAAAAAAAACGCACAAGAACTTACTTGGCATCATCTTTGATAAAAATCACAATTCTCAACCACACAGTGACCAGTGTCAAGCACATGGTGTCGGCCCTACTTCCCCCCCCCCCCCCCACTCCGGGGTCGGAATGACCGCATGCGCATGTTACCAAAATGTCCGGTAAAGGGGTACTTTTCATGCCCCAAAGTCCGGCTCGTACATACACAAAATTGACTTTACACACCGGGCTTAAGGGGTGTTTTCGAAAAGGAGGAAACGCGCTTGCGTACCCTAAATAACACAGCGGGGGGGGGGGGGGGGGGGGGGGGGGGGGGCTTACTTACTCGGATTGCCTTATCTTTATTATGCTCATTTCTCTACCAGTATATATTTTCTACCAAAATTGTTTGGCACATGTCATTTATTTGTAATCTTGAACATTCAGTGTTAGTTTCGTTGGATTCTGGAAAAAATTATTTTCTATATTTACCAGAATTAAAATGTATCTTTAAATTTGAAAAAAGCTTGAAATACCAGTACATTCTACTTGACATGTTCACTTCTATGTGAAAATATGAATGTTAGAAACACGGAAGAGGTGAAATGATTTACAAACTTGTGTCTTCACTATATTTATTTAAAAAATCGGTTTGATCTGTTGTCCAGTAGAGAATACATCTTTAGTTATTTTATCTACACAATAGTACAATAGTACGATACAAAATAAATAGTTATCATGTTTGACAGTCTGCTGAAGAAGGCATACATCTTAGAACAGCACCGACTTGGTGCAATAACGATCATCGAGTACATGCAAACAAACACCCTTCGTAATCTCACTTATATCCTTCAGACCTACGTTATAGGCGGTGTCAGACACAATTTTCCCAACCCGCGGTTTTCCAGCGTCATATATGAACGACTCTCGAGGCCCAACTGCGTTCCAACCGTCTTTCGAAAAATTTCATTCGCTTTCCTTTTGTCTGAGAATGGCAGCTTTAGCAGCTCTTTCTATCAGGAAGACAGCAGTATCATCTGATAGGAATGGATAGCTATTTCCTGAGGGAATGCCACATAGCGACAGGTTTTCTGAGAGAGATTAGCATCTGATTCCAATGGCTTAGTGATGATCCTTTGGCGTTAGCACCAATTAACACGTGACCGACGCTGGGGGTCTTACCACCCATACCAAACTGAGCTACAGTAATACGTAGGGTGACTTTCTAGAAGAGAGAGACAGAGAGAGAGAGAGACAGAGGGGTGGAGACAGTTTAGCAGTGAATGCTAATGGGGCATTGAGACAGTTTGGTAACCAATGGGGTGTTTCACAAAGATCTTAAGTCGAACTTAACTCTAAGTTGGACTTAAAAATTATGGAGAGCCATTTGTCAAACACGCCCGAGGCGTGGCCGAGGGTGTTTGGACTGTTCCAAAGGTACCGAGTGTAGGTAATTTTACTAATGCCCGAACAAATGATGTGCATTGTTTGTTTTATAAGATTATGTTTTATTTTTTTGTATGAAATTATGTTTTGTAACATGATTTTACTAATGATCGGTCATTAGAATTGGATAATGACCGGTCATTATCCAAATTACGCGTTAAGAGCGACCTTCTATATTATACAGTACAGATAAGGGAAGGGTGCCACCATTTTTGATTAATTATTCTCTTCATTTCTATCCTGCATATTTTTATAACGATTGAAAAGTTTTATTAATCAAAAACTGTTTTTTAAAGTCAACAGTTGCAGTCTCACGATTGAATTGACATGGATTACCATCATATGATTAAAAGGAATATAAACATATAACGGACCAAGAATTAAATACAAAAACATACGATTATAAAATATAAACATTTTCAAACTAAGTCGATGTATCATCTGAACCTTCTTGTACCGGTACTTACAATGAGAGATAATGTGAAATAATGAGGGAAAGTGTGAAAAAATAGGCTATATTGATATATAATTTCTATTTGAATAAATGCCTTCTTACCTCTAGAATGGTCGATGGCACAGAAAACATCATAGCCTCATTAAAGATAGGACACGTTTCACTTCTTTTCATTGATGTCTTCTTTTTACTTATCTTCTTGCCGTTCTGTAGAAGGTACACTTTCACAAATGGATCTGCAATCAAAATAGAAGCATAGATGTGATTTTATTTGATTGTTGACGTCATCTTTTCACCTATCTTCTTGCCGTTCTGTAGAAGGTACACTTTCACAAATGGATCTGCAATCAAAATAGAAGCATAGATGTGATTTTATTTGATTGTTGACGTCATCTTTTCACCTATCTTCTTGCCGTTCTGTAGAAGGTACACTTTCACAAAAAAATCTGCAGTCAAAATAGAAGCATATATGTGATTTGATGTTGATTTGATTTAGTTTGATTGTTGATGTCATCTTTTCACCTATCTTCTTTCCGTTCTGTACAAGGTACACTATCACAAACGAATATATGGATAGAGATGTAAATTGTGATTCGATTTGATGTAATTTGATGTGATTTGATTTCTTTTATCTATTATATTTTATTGAATTGAGCTACATTTGATTATTTTTCCGTATTATCAATTAACTGTAATTTGAATTAAATGTAATTGCTGTTTTTTATATTGGATCTTTGATTTGGATTTACCTAAATGTAATTCTGTTTCATTATATCCAATCCTATTTTGGAAGACAAATCGAGTTTCATATAATGTACCCGTCATTTTGATTGATTTCTTTGCTGTTGGAATCAGATTAGAATTGATCTCAATTGCAACTTACTTGAAATGTAGTTTTAATTTATTTGAAAAAAATGAAAAAAATGACTTTGTTCATGGTTATAATAATTCACCTGAACTCAAGTACACTTGAAATGTTTTACGATTATTTGTAACTAAAGTCACCTGATACCAGTTCATATGAACGAAATCGAAACTATGGTTCATTTTCATACTAATAATGGTGTTAACCCTGGAAAGCCTCAGGAGAATTAATGAGGTTCTTCCTGAGGGCCCTGCAATTATTCCCCTAGCAACTGTCAGATACCCATTTACATCTCGATGGAGTGGGGCAAATGTGAATTAAAGATAGAATAGACCTTTTTCGTAATGAAACCAAATATAATGCATACGTTTTGTGAAGTGCCTCGTTACGAATTATTTTATTGATATGTTATGAATAATTTTATTTCAATATTCACAATGCGACTGCATACATGAGTTGTTGCCCCGTAGGACAAACACCATGGCTTGCCCTGCCTAACTACATGTAATATATGTATTTTGCATTCTGACTACTGAAATATAATTATTCATTACAGGTGAACGAAATATTTGCATTGAGGCACTTCACAAAGACGTATGCATCAGGTTTGGTCACATTACGAAAATGAACTTTCGATATTGGTGTTTAAAGCCCCTCTGCACTAGTTTGGCTAGGAGGGATTAGATCTCCCTGCATGGTCATTGACAGGTGGTTATCTCATCAAATCAGCTCTCAATTAACTTAAGAAAAAGGGGATGGGGGACCAATGGTTACCGCTTAGGCATTGTTTGCTATATATTTCTAGTCATTCCTGCTTGTACAGCGCATAGAGAAACTTTTGTTTATTATGCGCTTTATAAATATTGTATTATTATTATTATTACTATTGTATAGAGGGCGGAATTATAAGTAGTGCAGTGGGGCTTTAATTGAATGGAATAGATTTTAAATGTATTATATACCTCCTGATTTTTTGTTATCACTCCATATAAGGCCCCTAGCTTTAACGATGACCACGGTAAGTCGCTCAGCTGTTGGAAGATAGCTCAGAGAAAACATGATGTCTCCTAGGTTCTCTGGTTTCTGTATGAAAGAAAACATATGTGACAATTAGTTTAATTACGACATATCCAAATGGTATTTATTTTTTATTCAAATTAAAGATAAACTTGAGTTCTGGTAAAAAAAAAGAAAATGAATTCTCACAGAATCTAACGAAACTTACACTGAATGTTCAAGATTACAAATAAATGCCATGTGCCAAAGAAGAAAATGTATACTGGCTGAGTAATGAGCATAGAAACAAAAGGAAATCAAGATAGTACTAGCCCCGACGCCATTTGTGTTGTCCCACATACATCTTTCTCTGTACAGTGATTGTTATTTTACTAAGACTGGATCAAATTTATGATGATTTTGATGACTTCAGAACCTTTCATTACACATCAATTCTTACATGCTTTATGATCAACTTTTCTGATCCATTCCACACCTTTTCTTTCACAATGCAATCGCATTACCAGAACTCACCTTTATCTTTAAGTAATTCAGTTTCTTCATTTGAAAGTTAAACACAATAAATAAATAATAATATAGAGTATTTGTAATGCGCCAACTCCATATGACTAATTATGTTCGAGGCGCATGGAGAAGAAAAACTATAAGTACACACAAATACACAAAAAATGAACAACAGCAATAGCACCTACTTTCGAAAAATCAACCTACGCACTTGTAATAGCCTTGTGCGTCCCTAATTATAATATGCGAATGTGAAAATGATACATTACGTAATCCGTACATGATTTCTATAGGACATGGAATAAACACACAAAACAAAAAACAAAAGAACAAACGAATGATATCAATGGAGTCAGCTGACGTAATGAACCAACAAAATATTCAATTTTAATGATAGTAGTACTAATAATAGCTTTGTTTACAGAGGAAAGAACGGGGAAAGAACCATGATCATTAATAATGCTCTCTTTATTATGCAAAACAAATCCGAAAGAAAAGAAATTTATGAAAAAGTGGTTACTTTTTGCAAAGTGTTTCTGATTATTTATTTCTTCTAAAATTGTTTTGCCAAGTAAATCTGGGATATCTAAAAAAGTGAACTGCAATTTGTAACTGATATCTATAAATGTATGTTCTTACCATATATGTTGAATGGCCAAGAATATCATTTTGAAATTCTGCATGTATGTATTCTTGTACACATATGTGAAAGATTTTATTTAATAAAGGAACCCTGTGGGAGGGGAAAACAAATTTAATGACGCTCTTCATTGGGGCCCTGAAATTATTAATACATTCAGTAATTGGCAGGTACCCATATGCACCTGGGTGGAGAGGGGTTATTATACAAATAATACACAGCAGTGAGGGCAATAGTATCCCCTCTGGCGTGTTTCTATTCCAAAGGTAACTTGTGTGGGTAATTTTAATAATGCCCGAATACAATAATGTGTATTATTTGTTTTGTAAGATTATATTTGATTTGGTTCATAAAATGATGTTTTATTACATGATTTTACTAATGACCGGTCATTATCAAAACTACGTGTTAGGCAAAATAAGTGCGTGGTCACGTGTACGCTTTTAACCAAGCATTTGATTAGGATCCACGTCATCATCTTATAAAATGGATTAATGTTTTACCAAAAGGACTGTGGCGCCGGGGATGGGATTCGAACCCTCACCCTGTTGCTTTGAGAGATAAGTGAACGAACCGCTATACCACGACACGATTGATATGGAATACCCTCTGCTCTGCTCCACGTTTGTGGAATTCTCTTGCAGCCTCCATTCGTTGCATCTCTGAAATTACTTTGTATAGATCAAAATTAAAAACCATAAATGGAAAAGGCATATTCAACCTACCAACCTAGCTCTTAAATTGTTACCTTACTTATCTTATGTTTGATAATTTCGCTTTTGTTCTCTTGTCATTTCTTCGTTTAGTTTTACCTGGATAAATATTGTAAAGCGCTTTGATATAAATCTCTTATGAAGAGCGCTATATACTCTCTAAAAAAATCGAGAGATCACGGACGTCACTCCTCTGGAGAATGAAAATGTAGTGAAAATAGAGTAAACATTCACTCTTTTCTTCTTAGAGAGCACTCTAAAACCAATCGATTTTCACTCCTAAACAAATGATCACGGACGTCACTCCCAAGAAAGTGAAAATAGAGTGAAAATTCACTCTTTTTTTAAGAGAGTAAGTAGAAGTTATGAGTATTATTACCCGTCGCTTCGTGAGAGTATAAAGACACCCAAACTCACTTCATTAGAATCGTGAAGATTAAGCCACGTGTTAAAGGGTCCATGTTGCCAATCAATGTCCTCTAGTTGTAGCTCGGTCTGGCCTATCTCCTCATGACGAGCATGTCTATCGTAGTTCATCACTGTCAATCGTAATGTTCGGCGGGGTAGATCCTCCCATCGGACCCGCATTGAAAACCTTCAACATTCACAAAGAAAAACATCCAATAAGTCAGAATAACATGTGTAATAAACACCATTTATGATATCGTTTACCACTATTGGTTTACGAACAAAACAGGTTTATTAAACGACAGAAATTTATTAAACTACAGGTATTTTGTTATACAGTAGGCTTGCGGGTGCACCATGTGTGTGTGAGGGAGAGAGGGGGTTGAGGAGTCCTGAAAAGGACTCTGACTCGGTAATCTTTCTTGGGGGTGTGTATAGTCCTGAAAAGGACTGTTTGTTATTCTTAGCATATAGTTTTAAGGAGAACTATAGCGCTTGGAGAGGATATAGGATATAATGATATAGGATATAATGATATAGGATATAATGATATAGGATATATGATTTAGGATATATTTAGAGACTGAAATAAAGGTACATTTTCATGAAGTTGACTTAAAAATCCCAACAAATCTAACTTATTACAATTTGAATAACTGTTGAAGTAGATCTTTGGGAAAGAAATATTGGAAAATCACATTGACGCAAATTTGTTGGGCTGATGCGATGCTTGATGAAAATTGTGCTCAAACAGTGCACTGCCATCGATGATGGTAGGCCTAAGTACTGCGCTTTCAATTTAGTGTGGAGTAGTGTGTGTGTGTGTGTGTGTGTGTGAGAGAGAGAGAGAGAGAGAGAGAGAGAGAGAGAGAGGCAGGCAAAGAGATGGAGGCAGATAGAGAGAGAGAGAGAGAGAGAGAGAGAGAATAACGAGAAGGGGTAGGATGAGATAGATAAGGTGAAAGAGATATTATCATGTAAAGAGAGCGAGAGGAGAGAACTAAGGAGAGAGATATTAAGGGAAGAACGAGAGGAGAGAGATAGAGTGTGCGTGGGTGAGAATCCCAGGGAGGGGGGGGGGGGGCGGTGGTAAAGAGGAGAAAAGGTAGGGGACATATTAAAAGAAGAGATGATGATTGAGAAAGAGAGAGAGAGAGAGATAGAGTACTGGTAAGGAAAGAACGGAGGAGAGATAGAACGAATGAATCAAAGATGGGATGAGAGTAGGGCAAAGCAAATTTCAGTCGGGATGATTTATTAGACTGGTGGCTTGCTACGGTCCCATCAGTCAATATTGGAAGAAGTGAAAGTCGATCAAACCTTCTACCACTTCACTCCAGACAAGATGAAATTGCATTCATGTCTGATGAAAAATGACAGTATACGGAGAGAGATACGAGATTGCAAAGCTTCTTACAGATATGACGCGGTGAATCGTGGTGGTTTACTTAACGATCTGTAATACGCTTCATATCTTATAACAGAGAGTTCTGTGCATATGCGCATAGGAGCTGTGTTGCATGTGCACAGTTGCCTTGCATTTACACGTTATCAAAAACCGCTGCGGTTATGACCTCTTCATACCTGACCGAGTCTCAATTGAGAAAAAAACTGTTAAATACCGACGGACATCTTAGGAATCGTAACAAGTCAGAACTTTATATAAAAGAGAGGGTAACAAGACAGTGAAAATGGAGAAACGAGAAAGAGAGAGAGAGAGAGAGAGAGAGATAGAGAGAGAGAGAGAGAGAGATAGAGAGAGAGTGTGTAAACACATATGTATTTAAATGTATAGACAGTCAAAGCACAATAAATATCATGAAAAAAATCCCGGAATGAATGAAAAGAAAAGAAAAAACAGCAACCTAAGAAGGAATTATATATGTATAATCCTGCGACTATCTAGTATATTATTAGTCTCCTTTCATCGATAAGTAAGCCTGCATCATATATGTCTGCTGTCAATACCATGGTTTCGAACAATGTAAATATTGTTAAGTTCCGTAAGGTTTCCAAAATTATAACATCGATACCTTCTGAGCCTTCTGCATTTGGAGTCAGCAGGGCGGTATTCCGCATGTCGCTAACTTGTATGGCAGGTAATGCATGCCGTGTGTTTCTGAACGTTGATGAACGTCCATACAATACAAGGATTGGGTAACTTTGTCTCAGATTCTGCAACAAAATCCTGAATTTGGCTCATGCTGCAATCATAAATATAAATCTTTACCTCAGTCTGGAACCCATGACTTTTACAAGCCGATCACCTGTCTGATTATCAAGATATTTATGATAGGAAATCGAAATCAAAATTTTGCGTTGTCCTAACGGATTTCATAACACTACAGTCTATTGGGCAAAACGAGGATGGTAAACCGGTCTTTCAAATGTTTTTACTTTTTGAGGCACTTCATGATCATTTTGAAGCCCAATTTTGTTTGGGTTTCAATATTATACCAATCACAGACACCGATAACACGTAGGGTCGTGCAACTCAGATTTGACATTGTTAAACGATGCATTTAACCACCCCCCCCCCCCCCAAAAAAAAGAAAATTAATCTAGGTCTGAAAGATCGAAACGTTATTTTTACCTTTCATTGTAGACCGGACTGAAGCTTCTTCTGTATATCTTCGTTTGACCTTTGACATCGTTATCTGGGTCAAGATAGAGTGTGACGTAGGTGTCAGAAAGTGCCGCCCCTTCAGGTAAAGGTCGAAGGTCACGAGCCTGTACCACGGTGACGATAAGACGAGATGGATCTGATGAATACTCGATAATGACCTCAACCTGACCCGCTCTGTCATAGAAAAAATGAATTTAACAAAAAATCAATGGCAAAGAAAGAAAACGAAAAGATAATGATTATAATTCGCACATGTTCTAGTACAAGAGATATCCAAAGGGCCTCCAAAGTACAGTCACATCTATAAATGGCGACTACCTACAGTGGTCACTTATGATGCCCCCCTTTAGGATGAAATGTGTTTTAGAACCTGTCTATAAAGGCCACCTGTCACCTGGCAACTTCTACTGTTTCCCTTGGGTGGCCTCCATAGACAGGTTTCGCTGTAAGGTCAATAATTTAAAGTGCTAATCGTTCAATCAAGTGATCATGTCCCATTCTACTACACCCGAGTTGAAAATGGTAAATACAGATCAATAACTTGTCAGATGCCGTCAGTGTTGTGGCTAGAATTTGAAATTGAACACATTGTCAGCTACATACTAACTACCCCCACCACTAATAAGAGGGTTGAACTTTGTATTTTCTGCCAAAAAAGAACTTAATTTAGCCAGTTCACGATTCATGATTTAATGTTCAGGATTGAAGATAAAGGTTGTATTGTCCATGTACTACAATGTATGCGTGAACTGTATTAATCATAAGGGAGTGAAATAATTCAGTTGTCAAGTTCAAGTTCAAGTTTATTTCCACATTTGTTTAAAACGACCAAAATAAAAGCATTCAACATGGAAATATATTTGTATGTATGTAATATACATAACACAAAGATTCAAAAAAAATATGTACTACTCATAATGTGGTTGGAATACAAAGGCCAACATGCCTATCAAGGAACTCTCATACTAACTAATATTACATAAAATTATTTATATATCGTGCTTATTCATAATGGAAAAACATAAAGAAAATTTACAAAATATTTTAAAAGATGATTGCAATACACATAAACAGCATATGACTAAAAATTTGTTTTCCATTGACCACAAATAGCCTCTTATTATCGTTATTATTATTTTACTTAAATGTTATCCCCATTGTGGAGCCTAAAGCTGCTCAAGCCCTTTTTTTGTTCATGTCATCTTTGTCATCAATGTCATCACTTTCAACTTCACTATCATCATCACAGCATCCTCCTCCTCTTCATCATCACTATCAAGATCATCATTTTCATCACCACCACCACCATCATTACTATTGAACATCAGCAGCAGCAGCATGACATCACTGTCATCATCATCATCATCACCATCATCATCATCATCCCTGTCATTATTCATATCATCATCAATATCATCATCATCATCATCATCATCATCACCATCACCATCATCATCATTTTCATCATCACCATTATCATCATTTTTCATCTTTGTTAAGATTAATGTAGTATTTATGATCCCCACTGTCACTGTTTTAACCATAGTAGTATTAACCATCATAGTAGTTATCAATATCATAATATCATCAAACTCAATTCACCCTCCCTTCTCCCTATCTTTCTGTCTATCTCTCTCTCTCTCTCTCTCTCTCTCTCTTTATGAATTAAATATGAATGCTTGGATGACCGTGCGTGCGTGAGCGTTTGTGCGTGTGCGCGCGTGTGGGTGTGTGTTGCTCTATCTCTTTATCGAATGATACTAATGATAATTTTAGCTCTCTCTCTCTCTCTCTCTCTCTCTCTCTATTTCTCTCTCTCTAATATTTATTTCGTAGCAGCACGCTCATGTTGACTAATTCATAACAATAACATTGCATCCTTCATATATTGTTCTCTTCACTGCTCAATGAAAGCACTTTGTGAGAATCTAAATTGATTTTAGCATCATGTGTAACGAAACGTGAAGTTTAGCTTTACCGATCACGTGACCAGTACGTGACATACGACACGTATTGACGCCCTTACAACCAATGTTAACGTTATGTGATGAGGCTTACTGTCATTATAATTTCTCACAATAGTTATTGCAGTTGAAATCGACGTTTAGATAAACAATCTTAAATTTGCTCAACGTAGTTTCATTTAGATGATACAAATCTTGTTGTTGTTGCATTGTTCACACAAATATGTGTTTGTGTGTGTGTGTGTGTGTGTGTGCTCTCACCTCAGCATTCTTGTGGGGTTTTATGTGCGCTTTCACATACCCCTTGTGAGGCATTTTTACTTTGTGGGGTATTTTTTCAGGACCCCACAGAGTAAAGTCTTTCAAATGACTGTATATTCGGTGTCCTATGCCCTGCGGGGCATTAGAAGTGGTACCCCATAAATGACTTTTTGTGAGCGTGTGCTAAAACTTGCACACTTTTTTATGGTAACATCGTAAGCACACCGCCGGGTTGTTATCGCCAGGTTGTACATACCCCACTAGTAGGGGACCACAAGGTATATCTGGAACGCACAGAAATACCCCACAATCAGGTGCCCCACAAAGGCCCTGATGTGAGAATGCGTGGGGGGGGGGGGTGCATATAAGAGCTATAATGGCACATTGTGGTTAGACGAAATGCCTTAAATTGTCCAAATTAACAGAGATAAAGACAGTCCCAAAATAATGGCATAAAACACCTTTTAATGAAAGTTTCGAATTATGGTTTCGAATTATGACTTTGTTATTCTGATTCTCTGACTATTGTTGTCGTTTCATCTTGAGCCTAATTGGTTATGAATCGTGATAATAACCAACTGCCCTATACGGCCTACGTACACCCCCTAGGGTCGTGTAAAAAGCCATACAATCGTCTTATAACTCGTACATGATCAAGAGAGAGAGCGACAGAGAGAGAGAGAAAGAGAGAGAGAGAGAGAGAGAAAAAGAGAGAGAAAAAGAGAGAAAGAGAAAGGGAAAGGGAGAGAGAAATAGGGAGCGGGATTGTGTGTGTGTGTGTGTGTAAGAGAGAGAGGGAGAGAGAGAGCAATCGAATAAGAAACTATGTCTATTAGATTTCCAGCCAGGCTTTTGAACTTGCACATTCGTGCCTGACTAAAAGTCAAGAAAACCTTTCCACAAAAACATGCATTTGCAGCTACTCCGGGATAAATTTGAGTCACCCCTAGATATTTTGTATTTGAGATGGGAAGATGTGTATTATTATAATGAAGGCAATCATGAAAGTGAAATAAGATCGAACCGAAGCAGGTGATATTGCGTTTCAAGAAGGCCGCTGTATGACGTCATCATTTCTTTGAAGTGCCCTATGTCCTGCGTGTACCGATCGAAAGGGTCTTCCTAGGAGCGCGGGTCAAGATTTAACAGTCTGTCTGGCAATTCTTCTTCACCCAGTTCTGTGATGGATAGTCATTTCAATCATTTTGCATACAGCTTTGACTGTTATTACGTTTCTATGCAATTGTGTTGTATGTGCTTGTAGGTTTGCTCAAGACTTTAATTCGAATTAGAAGGACTAGGTGATGGACACTAATGTATCACAAAAAGGGCACTGGCGCTTTGATAATGGTATCGAACACCGAACCTCCAAGTTACAATGTTACTGCTCTCTACCACAGAGCCATTATTCCATCCCCATGTGATTGTTTACGTAACTGCGAGTAAAGAATCAATGAAGCTTTGAAATGTGGATGGGTTTTTTCTGACCCCCCCCCCCCCTCAACACACACACATACACACTCACACGCAAGCTCAGTCATTTTACAAGTCTTTTATCGGTACAGGTTCGACATTAAGTTTGTTTATTGCGAAGTTTATCTAAGTTAGATGTAAAATGATTGCATACAAAATCTACAGCACCTGCCAAAAAATGTGGGGCGACCAACTACTGAAAAATATAGAAACTTGTACATACGGGATGGATATTTGTTTGGTTTATAATAACGTTTGATTCTTTTTATTCTCTGCAATACATATACTTGCAGTAACATTCGCCATGTTCAGTATTGATTATTTTTCGTCGTAGTATAATTATCCATTTTGTTCTTTCTATTTTTTACCTCACATCTTAGCATTTTGTCACGGAATAGATTTTCTTTAAATCTCGCTAAGGAGAACAAAATAGTCAAATTTTAGTTAAGCGATGGAGGGATGTACAAGTAATGTGTTATATATAGTAACACTCTGAATCCACATCCATTATGAGCCTGAAGCACATTCATTCATCAGTCTTGTTTGCAATGCTCTCCGTTTTCCTTAAAGAGCCTGCATTTATCAATCCCCATCTCTTTACTCTCTCTCTCTCTCTCTCTCTCTCCCTCCCTCTCTCTTATCCTCTTCTTCCAATTCTATATCTCTAGTTTTTATCTCTCCCTCTTTCCCTCCCCCTCTCTCTTTCTCTTCTCTCCCTCTCTCCTCTCTCCTCTACCGCTCTTTTTTCTCTTTTTCTCTCCCTAATCGTTTCTCTCTTTCCTTTTGACTCTTTCTCTTTCTGACTCTTTCTGTCAATCTGTCTGTTTTCCCAATTTTATTTTTCTCTCTGCTTCCCCTCTCCAGGCGCGGATCATGCGGCGGGGGAGGGGGGGGGGGGGATGGGGCGACCGGGCCTTTTTCGTTCTGTCACTCATGTATCTATCTTTATTTTCTATCTGTACTCTCCTCCCATCTCTTCTTTTTCCCTCGGTGGTCATGCGTGTGTCTACTATATCTCCAGGCTTATTCTGTTACATACACTTGTGTTTCCCGTCACTGTCTCTTTCCATCTCTTCACTGTTTGATTGATTTCTCTTAGTTTATCAGCATGAAGTTTAATCTGTATCTACGATTTATTATAGTTAATATTATGACAAGATTTTTAAAGACACATACGAGTGGGCTCTCAATGGGAATTTAAAGCCTCACTGTCCTACTTGTAGGTACTTGCTCCCTCTATATAGAAAACTTCCCCAATCGGTGCCTGTTGGTCCCCCATAATCCTCTATTTCTTATGTTAGTTGAGAGCTGAGTTAATGCGATAGCCACCTGTCAGTGACCTCGCTGTGTGGTCTATTCCCTTCTGGCCCAGTAGTATTGACAGTCTTTAACACCATTTGGGTGTTTACCCAATAACAGGTGTTGTCAATCACCAGGATTAACCTGTAGTTTTAAGACCAACAGGCCTTATTATGTGTAATGCCTTGCATACCCCCAAGCGGTAAAGACATTAAATCACTTTTCCCTCACCCGGAGACTCTCCGAGAGACTAGGGGGTATTAAATGACAGACCTACATGTTTGCTGTGTGCAGACTTGAGACACACATAAAAGGTTTTACCACCAAATATGGTGATGGCGACTTATGGCCTTCTGCACATGGAAGCTGACGACCCTCTTCCTTTAAGAGATAGTTACTCATATGCACCGGTATGTTTTTATAAAACAGAGGTTGTGGGGTCATGGGTGCGGTGATGATGATTTCGACATATAAGTGGTTCAGTGCTTTTGATTGGCTAGTCGATGAATTTTTGGTGACCTATACTTACGTGCTAAATATATTTTCGTGTACCGATGATTCTGACGTCACACTCGTAAGGGATTCACTGCTGTAACACCGAACCAGCTTGCGCATGATCGCATCCTCGTCAGCTAGGTCACGCGCGTCGGCATGCGCGTTGTTATGATTGAGTAGTTCCGGGGTAACGGTAGGTGGCGGCATACGAGATTCCTGTGCTGCGGCTGATATGGCTTGTTCTGCCTTGACGAAGAGGTTTTCATATTGGATGAACTGTCCTGTCTCATTCACTGGTATCTCCGTGCTCTGCGTGACCTAGTTATGAATGATAAAAAAAAACATATTACATCAATGGCAGGCTAGAACACTGCTTAACGCGAAATGAAAACAATAAATGTTGGGTGAAATTTACCCAAACAAAAGGTAATTTTGTGTCGAAGAAACTTTGGGGAAATGTTATGCCCAATGTAGGTAACTATAGTCTTCCCCAAGCGTGACCACGTTTTAAAAAGGTGAGGTATAACAATTTCTAATCACTGTGTAATAAAAAAAAATATCATTGACAAGATAAACTTAAAAGGTCGTATACTATTCCCATCTCTTCTTTTCTCAGCTGGTCGGTTATTTTGATTCAAGGGCGATCAATAATTCCACTTCAGTAAGCTCAATGGATGGATGTACTGGGCTTTAATAGATTTATGTACAGACAATATGTAGTCGCTATCATAAACGAGTGCGTTTATTGACCAATATTTTGCCTAGAATCAGCGTTCTCAACGCGTCTTTCAGGCAAATTTTTAAGGTGAAAAATGCAAAGATTTTTTCAAACGTCTTTAGATATTGGCATATTGTAACGCCGAAAAAAGTGCGTTTTTAATGTGACATACAGCCAGAATCACGTTTCCGAGACATGATAAACGCAAAGCTGTTTTGAACCCCACATACAAATCGGACCTTCACATGTTAATTTCCGGTTCGGAGGATAGCGCGCCATGTGTTGTGTCATGTCGTTGTACAAACATGTGTTTGCAGTTGACCTTCGAGAAACTGTGAGCTTCCCGGGTCAAACGGCGCAAAGCAGCTGCGCAGAGACAAGGCCTTTATATTGAATCGTGAAGAGACGATACGCGACATCCCGCAAATCACGTTCGTATAGTGGGGTTCTATATGTACATTTCTAGTGGCATGACACATAAAACAAACTAGCCTCTGTTGGCGTATAAAGGCTCGTTCAAATATGACTCGGCAAACCCTCGGCTGTTTTATTTTAATGATAGCGTAAAGTGTATACGCTTCTACATTTCTACATCGTATAACACAGAGTTTTGATTTACACGTAAACAAACCGCGGCGGAAATTTTGCTGCGGATTTTTTACTGTGGTTTACCGAGACATATGTGAACAAGCTTTATTCTATATAATATCTGCTTGGAGAGACTTTGCAATCAAAATGTGGGTAAATAACAAAGTACATGTAATATAACTAGTTCTATGTCATTTATTTTGCTTTTGCCCATGATAGAACATAATTGCATTCCCTTAGGCCTAACAAAAAGAACATGTTGTATTGCCCTTTAGGTCCCAAAACATGGATCGGTCGGGCGATTTTCTTTTTTCTTTTTTCTTTTCCCTCTTTGGGCTGATATTTCTTAGTTTTGAATGCTTTAACACATATTTTTTTGTATTCATTAAACATTTTTTTTTTAAACGTGAACGAAAAAATAAATAAATAAAAAGCCGACCGTAGATTTCAAGATTTTGGGGCCAATCGCAAAGGGCAAATTCGGCAGTCTCTTTTTACTTGTGAACATAGATCATAACCATGTATTTTATGTGTATTGTTTTCTTAGACTCAGAATGTTATTCGAATAATGCAGAAATATGAAAGAAACTATAAATGTTGCCACTTTGAAGAAGAAATGGTGATCAATTTAGCCTTTCAAATGACTTCATTTCTCATGCAAAACATAATATAATTAATAAGTATATTACAAAAGAAATATACAATAAAACGACAAATGGAATAGAAATAGCATGCGGGAAAGAGGGACTAACTAGAAACAGAGCTTGTTGAAGTGTTAGTTTTACAATATATCTTGAACAAAGTATACGAAGTACATTAATAAATAACGATAACAAATATGTCGCAAAGAAGTTATCGATATTTTGAGGGAAAAATACAAATTCCTGTCCTGAAAAGGTGTACAAAAGATATGTAAGATCAGATGCTTTTTCCGAATAGAAATAGTGTACCTACTTTCATTCAGAATCCAGATAATAATAATCCAGAGGAAGAGAGGAGAAATTTATTTGTGCGATTAATACAGCCATTACTCGAGTTACCATGGTAATGCCATGGTAATAAAAAAAAATCTCCCACCTTACCACCCGATGTGAGCCTGAGAGATATGCCAAAAGAAGGTCTTTCCGTTAAACATACTTTTTTAAATATCCGATTGGAGGGGGGGGGGGGGGGGCAAATTACTTTTACAAAATATGGGAGTGAATTGAACCATAGAGCCAATTAGAAAATGATCTCTTTGTTTGAACCAATGTCTCCATGGAAAGTGTGTTTACATAAAAAAGGAGAATGTTCAGTTTTTTTCTTCTTTCTGTTACAAAATCCAATTCATATGAAGCATCGACATTGTGCTGTTTTCCAACTTGAGGCGAATTGATGAGAGAACTGTCTGCTACAATTACAAGCATGTACCAATCTCATTTGCAAAATCTGTATAATACTGATTGTACAAATGAATTTTAAATTGCAAGCACGATCTGAATTTGATGAAAAAACAAATAATTCAGGAAGGATCGAGGCACATGAATCGGTGCAAGAAAAAGAACAAGGGATATTGTCGAGGGTAATATTGGCTGAGAAGGAATACTTGAGTTTTGGAATACCTACTAGTGCATAATGCAATTTCAATAGAAAGATTGACAATTAAGAATCTTCTTGAAGCAGCCTATTGCGTAGATATGGGTTATGAAAAAAGTCAGTCAGTAGAATATTCATTTGTTCTTACAGATCGGTATATGCGTAGAGGATCGCATTGTGTATTACGTTTTATTATGGGGTTTTTTGCAAAATATAAGATATAGTTGAAGGATAAACTTAAAGAACTTTGAACGTTGGTAACATTTAAAATATGATCTTTGAACGGATTCCCAATCTCAACGACATTGATGAGGTTTCCCTGGGTAAACAAGCTTATCACAATTATATTTTATTTAAGTTAAATGGATAGTTGAGTTCTCTTGCAGAGGGCGCTACACAAAATATTTCATTGTGAGATAATGAAAAACTGAGTGTCAAATTTGAAAGAATATAATATTTAAATGACAAGATAATCTTTGTTTTATCAAAATCGGTTCAGATATGACGATTTATAATACTTGTGTACCACTCCCGGCCCCCCCCCCCCACTCAGTGTTATTTAGGGTACGCATATGCTCGTACCCTCTTTTTGAAAGCACCCCCTATCTGAGGACTGCCAACATTTCCGAACCCCCCTTTCGCGGGCTTTTTGCGGGCTTTTCCTGCCTTGGAGACCCCCCTAAATCAAGAAAAATGCTCAATGTACCCCCCTAAATTCGGAATAATTTCTCAGGATTCCAAAGAGATGAGAGAAAAAAAGAAAAACACCCCCTTTTTAAAGAAATCTCCGGGTGAAAAGTCAAATACACCCTTTTTTTAAACAAATCTCGGGCCGGACTTTGTCGCACGAAAAGTACCCCTTTACCGGACATTTTGGCAACACGCATGCGGTCATTCCGACCTCTGAGTGGGGGGGGGGGGGGGGGGGGGCGGGGTACCACTACAAATATTAGATATTTTGAAAAATTTGAAAAAGCCGTTGAAAAAATGAACGCCTTTTACGTCGTATTTCAGCCAATGCCAATGTTGGCTCTTTTTTGGCATTTTCGTGTTGCTTAAATTACCCACAATTAGTCGGCTCATGTATTGTTATTTTTAATTAAATAATTAATTAACGGTCACCGTGTTTTTTTTAAGTGGAGCTGAATTGGTATGATCGTATTGGCTAAATTTCACACATTTTGGGGTCTAAAATTACCTTCATAGCAATTTTAGGTTCTAAAAGGGCACTATAAATGTCATAGATAAGAATATGAGCAATAACCATTCACTTTGAAGGCATTTACGGTCTGAAATCAGAACTCAACTATCCCTTTAAAACCAACGTATATTCGATATTTAATCCATAAGATGATTTCACCATGCGTCTGTAATGTTTAATACATACATAATTTTTTGTTCAATGAGATAAATTCCCAGTTATATCTTGCCCCATTGAATATTTAATTTACTTACTCCTGTACGAGTAATATTGGAACCGTCGGGTTCCCTCAAACAATGGGGTACATTTACACAAATCAATATACAATTACAAGGAAAAACTCATTCATCCCTGTATGAAGGGCTTATAAAGCCCTTAAGACTTTTTTTAGATATGGCGCGGAAACCGCCCCCCCAAAAAAAAAGCAGCCGCTATTGCATTTTTTAAATGAATTTCATGTTTATGGCAATGAACTAAATAGCAACTGCATGCGAGCAACAAATAACTTGCGCGTTTTCACTAAGCTAAGTGTTATACGATGGAAAAAATATCAAGCGTCTATAACTTAACGTCATTATAAAAGACCACTGATGTTTTGCTGCGGCATATCTGCACGAGCCTCACCTTTGTTATGATATTAAACCGTGCATACTGTTATTACTATTGTCAGCTCGTCGTCAGTTTGGCTAAGAGCACGATGAGGGCATATAATAACAATCAATCGAGAAGAACATCATTTTCTCTGAAATTTGTCGTATGTAATATTGGTTTTAATAAGGAAGGCCAGGGGAGGGCAAACATCACAGACCTCACAGACCTAACTACGACCGTAAGCTAACATGTCATTGGTAGAGAATTGCCAATATAACCAGGGACGGACCCTTGATTTTATAAGTGGGGGGAGGGGGGAGGGGGAGGGGGGCTCGATTCCGGAATAAAACAAATTGAGAGCTAACAAAAGAGGTAATCACATTTTCCAGTTACCTTTTTGATTGATAAGTAGGGGCGTGGTACATTAATAGTTTGGTTGTTTTATAATCAAGATATGCCAACTGGGTCGTACAAGGGGTGTGTGTCATGGCTGTACCCCTTTCCTCTCTCCTGAGTCGATATTAAGCAAAAGCGTTGTAGAAGAATAGACTGGGGGCTTGGGGTTCTCGTATTCATTCTCTACGCGTGCCTTGCATTGTGGGAGGGGGTACTTGAGCCCCCTGAACACCTTTAAAGACCGTCAAC